CACAAATTGGATGGACGTCACCGACGTTGATCTTGACACGGCTGGGAAGGCCGCTGGACCGCTGCGCTACGGTACTCCCTTCCTTCATACAGTACGCACAGTACAGGCTCATTCCTACGCCTGGAGACGGCCATTGTTTCTTGACATCCCTCCACATTCCACTCTATCGAGTAGCTATTGCTCGCAATATTGTCACATCTCAATTCTGGATTAAGCGAGAGCAGTCAGCTTTGCAGGCTTGTTGCGAACAGACTGCCCGAAGGTCCATATACATCGACCGCCAGCCACAAACAACCCGACAGTTTGCTTACTGGCTGGCCGGGTACTACATAGTCCCCCCCCTGCTGATCGTCCATTTCAGCCGTAAATGCGAGGGGGTCCTGTTGCATCGCAACACAAGCATGCCACAGCTGCATGCCGAACTCGAACAAAGGGACTCAGCCACACATTCGTGTAATTACGACGTGATCCCACCTTTCAGGCTGGACTAACAGCTTCGTATGGAGAACATGGCTTGCCTGCCGTGTCCGATAATAGCTGAATCAGGCTGATGTCCCATTTCGGTAGATGCACTTCAGTAGCTCGGCCGGTGCTCCTGTGGCTTGCGTTGCTGAAAGGGAGGAGGCAAATAGTCTTCGGCATACTCCGAGACAGTGGTGATTACACCATTTCCTTGAAATAAGAATTAATTGAGCTATGTGTGTTAGTAAAATTATGGAAGCATCGAAGGTCAATTAGTCTAATTGCCCTCATCACAAGCCGAGCCGAGAATCTGGAGATCTATCTACCTTTGTCAGGTGGACACTTCTAGGCCCCCATGGACATGAAATCATAGCAAGACAGGGGGTGTTTGTCTCAAGATTTTTTTCTTCTTCTCTGATGCATGCATCTCACCCTGTTCTCCACCCGTTCATCAAACTCCACTCCCAATAAGGCGGGCTACACGAAAACTGTGATGCGAATACTGGTCATCTAATCTTGGCATGTGTTGATGTCGGGAGCGTCGTGTTACTCGCGGCTGTTATTTGTTCTGTTATAACCACCACAAGGCTCGTATGACTTCCTCTAGAGAGGCATATTCGGCGAATACTACAGTGGCTGGTTCGGGTGCTTCGGAGGTTTCTGTGAGGCGCCCATTTCGTAGGATACTGATGCATCGTCATCCCGATACGTGTATTCTAGAGAAGCCCTCTACGATATTTACACCCCGCGAAGTGCAGTTTGTGGGTGGATGCAGCCGAAGTGTTGCAGCGGCCATCAGCCTAGGGTTGTGATGTGGCAGGTCGCTGTCAGGCGGCCGCTGTACACTGACCGCTATAGGCGGTCACTGCGAATTGAATTTTTTTTCTCTTCTGATGACTTTGGGCTCCTTTGCCTGGTGACATACCTTCAAAATCACCGAAATTTTTGGTCAGCGTGACTCACAACCAACTCGCAACCCCGCAAATCTGCGCCGGGGTTGCCTGTTTCAGCTCTTGAATGGCAAACCCACCATTCTTTACTCTGGGTCTCTTTTTTTTCTGACACCATTGGTATATTTTTTTTTCGCCACCCCCTGGACCCTGAATTTAGAGCCTTCCCTATAGTCAGGGGGAACTGTTGGGAATACGGATACGTCGTGCTACGTATGTATCTGGGGGGGCTGGACCAATTTAGCAATACGTGGGTGACCTCGGTAGGGTGCAAGGAGAAACAAGGCTGAACCCTCATTTCATTTTTTTTCGCCTTGCTTCTTCCATTAACCCTGTGGATGCGAATCTCATCAACACACCGGTCGGTGAGGCGAATCTCAAGTTAGGGGCTGGGGAAAACCCACCAGGAGCCAGCCCCTTTACACGGTCCTCAGAAGAAGACGGTGAGAAGAAGCAAAATTGTTCTAGAAGCACGACGTGGTCTTCTCCTCCCGCTGTGCGACACTGGGCGGATCCCATGCTTCATTTGCTGGGCTGCTGCTGCACCTAGAGGTACGGCACAATGGTCAAATGACAGTGCTTCCCTACCTACCGCAATGGTTCCTGCATGTTTCACACACTGCGCTTCCGAATATGTTGGTTGAAGCTGGGCAACAGTGCTTTGGGGCCTGGAAAGCTGAACAGACCCGGCATATGCAAGCCACCACATGTGGTGGCTGACAAAAGAACACTGTCCAGACCCCAATAGTTGCGCGGGCTGGTGCGTGCGAATGCAACATGGAGCTTGGACATGACCGGCCCGTTGGCTTACCACTCAGCCGGGAAAGTTTGTCATAGGTGTCTGTCCCTCCGAAATGCAGACAACGCAGAGCCGAAACCGCTTTGGCGTAAGCATCGCTGCATCAACAGCGTAGCATCTACGAACTGCAACTCCCCACACGCTAAGTATGTGAGTGTGCCTCATTGTGGGTTCGGCCGGTTGGGCGAAACTGGGTCAGTTCCCGAGAATCCAGTCACATTCGATGGATTTGGGTTATGCGGACGGCCTGTTCCTCTAGTTTTTGGCCTCGTGATCGCGCTGGCCAGCATGTCGCCGGGGTTCGCTCTGCGTCTACTGAATGTGTGGAAAGCTTTGCGACGGAGCAAAAGTCTATATTTCCCAACCCTGCGTGCCATTCTATTCCGAGCCACACCCTCATCAGCATAAACGGGCGTTGGTGGTCAGCCCTGACAAGGCCCCGCGATTGAGTGAGGGTGGTCATTTGACCATCCCGCCAATGCATTCCCTGTCTCTCCCCTCCCTCTGCCACCCCAGCTTCTGGTACCTACCTGTTTCTGGAAAGCTTTCTCCAAATCTCAAGGGCGAGAGTTCAAGGTCCTGCCCTTAGTGCCACTGTGCCGGGTCGGTCATCATGAGGTGAGACCAACCTCTGAGCGCTGTAAACCCAGCAATCGGTGAGCATCCCTGTTGGCCCTTCTCAACGGGCACAATCTGGCAATACCAACATCCATGCCGAACGGTCTGGGGAGCGGAAGCCATTGTCCGTCTTGATTTACTCCGCTTACATCGTCATGACGGGACCGTCTCTCACTTTTTAGCGTGCTTGAGATGCGCCTCCTTCTGTACCGGGAACTGCAGGACACAATGTGATTCACAGGTTGGGCACTTATGTTTCCCTGGTCGGTAATGGATCGAATATGTATAATTGGCTACACATACACCCCCCACGCAGCATGCAAGCATCAACATTAGTTTCGACCAACAACCCTAGCAAGTGAGCAAGTTGCCAGGCTGGTTAGGGCAACTGCTTGCTTTTTTGCCCTTCATGATCGCGATTGGTATCAGGCATTATTAATATGTAACGGCCCGCAGATGTCATAGGCTGCTGTGGGAGCGGGCCGGTGATCATATCAGCGATGTGAATGGCCATGTATCTAAGAGCGAGCAATTAGCTGTGAGTGGTAGCACAGGGCTGCGAAACATCGACGGGAGCCAATGACGTCGCTCTCCGGCGTTCTCTGACTCCCAATCTAAGACCACCCCTTGTGCAACCATCCTTGGCTCGATCAATGCCTACGTGTTGCAACGGGGCGGGGCACAGTCTGTCATATTGTCAAGCAAGCACGAAATACAGGCGCTGCTGAATGATAAGCCGTATTCTTGTACCGATACGCCCGGAAGCATCGGGTTGACGGGTTGACGAGGCTCGCTCCGCCCACCCAAACTAGCTCTGTGTGTAGGTGTGTGTGTGTGTGATATGAAACCCCCGGAGCCGGCGGAGAACCAGAATGGTTGCGAGCCACGCACAATCGGTTGATCCCACGTGGGAAGGACAAGGGCCGTCTTTTCCTGGACGCCACCCCGTACCAAGCCTCGATGGGTGTGTGTGCTCAAGAGGGCAAGGTACGTGAGGGGATCCTGCAGCAGGTTCGTCAGATGAGCCATTTGCAATTTTGGAGGGAGCAGATCACAACCCAAGCGAATCTTCAGCCCTGAGAGCAGCACCGTGGATGGTTTCATCCGCGAGGGGTATTGCATGTGCCTTGACGTGGCCCAGGCGAAGCGACGCAAAGGTGTGTCAGCAATCTCAAGATATACGAGCCGAACAAGCCACTGTACCGCTACAACGGGAGCCTTGTCCTGTGTTATGATGACGCCTCACTGCGCATCCTCAGGCGGGAGGCAGGGTGGCGGGCTGAAAACTGTGGCGGTCACTGCGCCGCCGCTTTTGCCAAGATCACGAGGCTTGAAGCGTTCCTTTTTTTACATTCAGGTTGGCAATTCCCTAACGGGCGCCCTTCCCCAGGGTGTATCGTAGAGTGTTCGTCGGCGCACACTCCCACCACGGCGTCTCGCCTAGAGGCAACCGAACGCTGATGATCATGCATGTGACGCAACCTCTTGGTTTTTCCCAATGGAACAGGCTGCAGATGCAAATGCAGATGTAGCGCGACACTACAACCTGCTGGTATGCAATGAGTCAACGCCCAGCCGTCCTGCTCTAGCTATGCGTCTTATCATCAGAAGATCCCAGCTGCGGGAAGCCGCTTCGGGCCAGAGGCACGACAGTCCTACATGGAGGTGGTGCGGGTTGAAATCACGCAGGCCGCATGAAAGGCCGTTCAAGGCTTTTAGTTATTAGCTCATGGGGCCGAAAACTGATTTTTCGTACACCCTGGCCGGAGAGATGTGTGCGCATCCAAGGACGCCACGGCTAAATTCAACTGGTATCTACCTACTCTGGTGAATTGCATGAGCCCGTCGGTTTGCCAGCGAAGATAGACCACACTGTACCCGCGGACGTTGTTCGCCCTTGGCCATGGCTCTCGTCTGGGTATCGTGGACAGGGGTTTCTTATTGGATACTAATCGCGTGCCATGAAAATACCATCACATGAGATGCACGACTTGGGCAATCAGTCCGGTCGCCTAGGGTTCCTACGGCCGTCGATCATGCAATCGAGATCAGGGTTCAAGTTCTCGTACAGTCTCCCTACCGTTTCATCTGCGCGATTGTGCCCGTGACTGTAAATTTCAATACCAACCCTCCCAAGGGTCTAATTACACCGTTTGGGTCTCAGGTCAGGTCTAGCCCTGCAGGCCCAGTCCAGCACGGAGCATAGGTTCCTCCTCGAGTTTTGGTTTCGCGATATCCATAATCAAGGAAAAGCTCATAGACTATCCTCGCCAGCGGGCAATTGAGTGGATGAGATCCAGTTTTCCATGCTCGCTTGGTTGGAGTTGCCCCGTCCAGATTTCTTACTCCCTGTCTCGCCTGCGCGATTCAACTTACGTACCACGAGACAGAGCACGCGGCCGTAGATTGCGAAGCCTTCGTACGTAACATCCATGGCCATCTTTTTCTTATCATCATCCTCGGTCTCAGCTTCCTTGCCCGGTTGCGCCCCTCTGTGGCGCTTTTGGGGGGGTTGATCTGTATCAGAATCGCTGTCGATCACCGAGATGGGTTCCTCCACTTCTAGGGGTTCAAGCTGATCATCGTCGCCATCTGTGACGATTCTATGTCGCTTCGAGCGTGTCCTACTGGATGTTGGGGGCAGGGGGATACTGTCGAGGTTGACCGCACTTTCATCGTCATCTTCCTGAAGAATTGGTTGGAACTCCTCATCCAAATTGAGATCAACAGGGTTCTCATTTGTCTCCCCAATCAGCTTGTTTGCATTGGACTGTAGCTTCGGCGCATTTCGGTCGTGGAAATGCTTGTGTTTCTTTAGGACGGAGTGTCGCGTGTTGGTTTCGGTCAGAAATAACGACACCTCAAACCCATCTAAAGCATTAAATTAGCTCGATGACTACATGGTTTGAGAAGTCTTGCATGCGCATATACCTCCAACTACGAAATCTTTTATTGCCTTCTTCTTCGTTGATTTCTTCTTGCTTCGTTCTCTCTCTTCACGCAGCTTGGGTAATACCCATGGTCGGACGCTTTCGATGACTCGAGGTAGGACGGGATCGCGAGGGTTCAGGAGCCAGGAGTGCACCAGAGATGGATTGTCAAGGTATATTCGACATTCTAAAACAGTGTACTTGGTTATTCGGAGATATCGACGGACGGGTGCCATTTCACATAGTCGAAAAGAGAAGTTGTAAGATCGTTAAGCAGGCGATGCACGATGTCGTTAATATGTGATGTGATGTAATCAAGGGTCCAACAGGCCCCACCACTGCTTCAGCCACACGAGGCTGGAGATTCCAAAGAGACCGCCAATCTGCAAGCGAAATCTTCCCCCACGAGCTTCAAGGTCGGCTGGTTGTGATTAACACCAGGCACTGCCAGATGTTGCTCCAAGATGTCCAAGTCTTGGAAGGCAACATTGAAGCTCCCAGTGTCTAAATTTCCGTACGTTTCATGCGCTGCGCTAGTTTTCAATTTGAGCATCCATTGACAGGATTGGATTATAGTGCACGACCGAACCCAAAGCTTCAAGCTCAGTACTTGCGACAATGCACAGATGATCTATATGCTTGGCAGGCGGCGAATCGGCCAGCCGACGACCCTTTCATTCTTCACGATGGACCTCCATACGCCAATGGGCCATTGCACATCGGCCATGCGATTAACAAAATCGTGAAGGATATGATAGTCAGAACCAGATTACAGCAGGGTCGGCGCATCATATACCGACCAGGATGGGATTGTCACGGGCTCCCAATTGAAATGAAAGCGCTCGGGTCAGGAAATGGAAAGGGCATGAGCCCGGTCAAGATCCGAGACCAGGCAAAGCGCCTAGCATCCAAGACTGTGACAGAACAGATGAAAGGGTTCCGGTCGTTTGCAGTTCTGGCCGACTGGGAGAACAAGTGGACGACCATGGATCCGGATTATGAGTTACGACAACTGCAAGTCTTCCAGGAACTCGTCCGTCGCGGTCTCATCTACCGCAAACGCAAACCAATCTACTGGTCAATATCGAGCCGTACCGCATTAGCAGAAGCCGAATTGGAGTACAAGGATGACCACAAGTCTACTTGCGCATACGTCAAATACCCCATTGTATCAGACTGGACACATCTTCCTGGAACTGCACAACTTCAAGGACCCCTTCATGCAGCGATTTGGACAACAACTCCGTGGACACTTCCCGCTAATAAAGCAATTGCGGTTCACGAGGACCTTGCATATGCTATTATTCAGGCTGATGGATATGGGCTTATTGTGGCTGAAAACCTCATTGAACAAATCCAAAGCCGCATCCCCGCCACAACTGTTCTTGCGCAAGGCATTCTAGGATCTCATCTTAGAGGCTTAGAGTACCGTAACAGACTCCAAGGGCCGTCGGGAGCACCACAGCCCATCATTCACGGGGACTTCGTCACTGCTGATTCCGGAACGGGACTCGTACACGTCGCTCCTGGCCACGGACAAGAAGACTATGAGGCGTGCTCGGAACTTGGCATAGAAGCATTCGCACCAATAACCGACGAGGGTCACTTCACTAAACAGGCCTTTCCAGAAGACCCTGAAAGGCTGGTATCAGCACCCAGTATTCTTGACGGGGGCAGTCGCGCGGTTTTGGATATTCTGGCTGATGATGTACTGACTACTCATGTTATCAGCCACAAGTACCCTTATGATTGGCGGACAAAACAGCCCGTGGTCACCCGAGCGACAAGCCAGTGGTTCGCAGACGTGGGCAGTATCAAAGACGATGCGTTGGAAGCCCTTAAATCGGTTCACTTCATCCCTCAAACCGGGCGTAATAGACTCGAGAACTTCGTCAAGGGCCGTAGCGAGTGGTGCATATCACGCCAAAGAGCATGGGGTGTTCCCATACCTGCCCTGTACGATTCTGAGGGCAACTCTGTTATGACAGTCGAGTCGATTGACCATATTCTTTCCACGATGCGACAGCGAGGGTCTCAGGCCTGGTTCTCAGATGCGCCGGATGACCCAGCATGGGTCGCGCCCTCATTACAAGGCACCTTTCGTCGCGGGACTGATACGATGGATGTTTGGTTTGATAGTGGCAGTAGTTGGACCGAAACTCCTCAACAAGCCGACGTGTACCTTGAGGGCAGCGACCAACACCGAGGGTGGTTTCAGTCAAGCCTCCTAACCTACATCGCGACAAGAAAACCACAAACAACTCTAGCTTCGTCCTCATCTGGTTTGTGGCAGGATGCTGCTGTGGGGGGCATCAGAGCTCCCTTTAAAACTCTCATTACGCACGGTTTTACGCTTGACGATAAAGGTAAAAAGATGTCAAAGTCCCTCGGTAACACCATCTCCCCTGAGGAAGTCATGAATGGCAGTCTCCTACCTCCTATCAAGGGCAAAGGCAAATCTGAGCCACGGCCAGATGCCCTTGGCCCCGACGCTCTACGTGTACTTGCGGCCACCAGTGATTATACAACAGACATGGCTATTGGCTCATCTGTGCTCAAGCCTGTCCACACAACCCTTCTCAAGTACCGCAGTATTCTCAAGATGCTTACTGGATCATTACACGAATCAAGTCGACAAGCACCACTATCCAAGCTCGATCACATTGCTTTCATGCAGCTGACTGAAACAATGTCCCGCGTTTTATCTGCGTTTGATCAGTACGAGTTTCACCGAGGAACTCAGATTATCAATCATTGGATTTCCACCGAGCTGTCTGCCTTCTATCTTGAGTCCCTAAAGGATAGACTGTATTGTGGTGACGGCGGCGGCATTATTGAACCGATTTTTATTGGCTTGCTTCGGATGCTTGCTCCTGTTACGCCGCTACTAGTGGAGGAGTCCTGGGCTCATCGCCCTCAGTGGATGGCTGATGACAAGTAAGCATTGTTCATGCATTGACCTAATTCTGCAACTTATGCTATTTTTACGATTCTGATACCTCGTGATTTAGCTCTTTGGAACACCCGGCACGCCAAAATTTCAATAGCCCCTTGATTGACCCCTCCCGGATCGAACTCGACGAGAATACCCTTCGCGGCGATTGGAGCATCATAGCACCGATCCGCGAGTCCGTCAAGTATGCCCTTGAGCAAGCTAGAGAGTCTAAGGACATCGGAAGTTCTCTACAATGTCAAGTAATAGTCCAAACGACCAACGAACAAGTCAAGTCATGCTTGGAGCGCTACCGCGACGAGCTAGACTCCCTCTTCAACGTCTCATCAGTTGAGATCAACGCACCTCTTCCTCAAGATCCAGTATGGATATATCAACATGCCTTCGAACAAGACGACTGGAACGGGAGTGTACATGTCGTACCTCCCACAGAAAGCAAATGCTCAAGGTGCTGGAGATATCTCGCTGAAGAGGAGGATGGTCTGTGTAAGAGATGCGACGATGTCGTTGCTAAACTCCCATGATGATTCTGTATATATATGTACTATAAAAGAGGCTCAGCCTCTATGTAAGATATCTCTCAATCCTGTATCATGCAGATTATCATGACGATAAAACAACGACGAAGGATCATGTACCTGCCTCCTAACTGGTGCTGCGAAATTAAGATGCGACGTGAAATGACTCAGCCACAGCCGGGCCGCCACATCTGCCGCACTTACGTACTGCAAGAGCACATGTCAGTCAGTGCTTCGGTAGTCAGTTATGACATCCATTGGTCACCCACCCACCACCTCCTGGTCCTCCATTACCTGTTTGCCTCTATCGATTCCGCAGTCTGGATGGACTGTGTGCCAATCGGCCGCATCCTTCCACACTTTCGCGGTTAATCGCTCTCGTTGGTTTCTTCAACTCGCTCATTTTCGCTTGCATCTCTCCTTAATTAAATCCCCATCCAACCCATACCCCGTACTTGATCCAGGCCAGACAATGGAAATGCAGCGCAGCAGGCAGCTTTGCACAAACGAAAGCTACTAGCCGACCACGTATTAGACATGGCCGATGACAGCCAGGACCAAGGGCCTCGAGTCCTGGCTGGCAGCCAACACCACTCATCGACCCAGAACGTGCAACAGAAGATAGGCGAATCCAGCGCGACCCGAGCAACCAGAACTGCGATGCCGCCTGCAAGTCAGGATTCAGGCGCCGACCGTACCCCGTTCGACCGGACTTCAGCAGTCCCAGACGCAAAACAATCAGGGGATGAGTTGGCGCGAGACACACAGAGTCGAAGGAGGGCCAAGCCTCGCTCAGGCGGCGGCTTCCTCCTTCAGAATGCCGCTCTCGGAGACAAGGAACCAAGCTCGCGGCGCCGGTCGAGACTCATCCAACAGAAAGGAAAGGCAGTTTCCCGGACCCCTGAACGTCAAAAACCGAGCAATCCTCCTCTTCTCGGTGGCAGGAGTAGCGGCGAGTCGCCTCGTGGACAGGAACGGCTTTCAGGTTCCCTAGAGGACATGGACGAATACCAACGAGCGGATGTCGATAGTGATCACAAAAGATATTCCTCCGAACAGTACCAGTCAGGCCCTGATGTCGACGCGACCCAGATAGTGAACATGGCACTCAATCTGAGCGAGTCGCGGCGAGTGGCGTCTCGGAAAAGCGCACCACGAACCAGTCCTCCTCGTCTAAACCCCTTGCCGGAATCCAGTTCCAAGACCAACCTACGACAGCACTTTCAACAGCAACGAAAGGTCACACGAGCTGGATCACCCAAGCCACCTCAAGCGCACTCGACCAGGATCCCTTCCAGCCACAAATTTGGGTTTGATGATGGACAAGAAGCTAATTTTCGCTTCCATTTCTCTGCATCCACAATCGCAAGAGCCCGGAAGGCCAAGGAGCATCTTGAGCTCATGGCAGAGTACAGGCGCTTGTTGGAGCATCTGCCTCCCCTGACGAATGGCCGGCCTTACAATAATGCAACTCCTCCCGAGTCCCCTTTCTTAAACCCGACATCCCCACGGCTGGGAAGTGATGGTTCTATGCCGGTATGTAGCCGGCCATACAATCCCTTACAGTATGTGAGGAATCGAAAGGTCAGGGCTCGTGAGAGAAAAGTTATCGATGGAGAGCAGCAGGGCTTTACCGACGTCGACCGAGTGAGGAATTGGGTGGATAAGATATCCGAACAGCAATCTTTGGCGGGTTTAAGGAACAGCGGCTCTGACTCTCTTACTATCCCTCCTTTCAATGAGCCAGATGACAACGACGACTCAAATGCCGGTGAGCCCGTCACGAAAACTGTATCTCGTGTACGACGGCCTAGGGTTGACTGGTTCTTTGATCCCTGCGATATCATTGCTGATGCGTACTGGTTGGAGCAAGATCACCACAAGCATCTAATTGAAGATCGGCTATGGCGAAAAATCCTCCCGGCTCCTGGAGAGCTTAGCCGCCCGGCTACGAACCAGCCTATGGACTTCCTATCTACTACAACCTCACCTTTGGACTCCGACCAGGCCGATAGAACCGCCGTTGCAGATTTCCAAGATTACCACCTACCTTCCAAAGGACTCGCCATATCGCAAGGCGGCACCAAAGATCGCGCGAAAGCTAAAGTCAACGAAATTCGCGGTTTTCATCATAGACGCGCACAATCGCATGCTCACCATGACTTCCTTCGAAAACGACACTCGTACTCATCCTCCGACTCCTCCTCGTTGTACTCGGCCTTTTCTGACAACGAGAGCGACAAGAGGCTGGAAAGGAGGAGAAAGAAAGGTTTGCCCCGGAGAGAGACTCTCACAACAGATCCTAGTGACCTGTTGCAGAAACAAATGACAGAAATGGTAGCTCAAGAGACACGAGGCGAGGTGCTCCCGCAACTATCAGAGAACGATCTCATAACTCAGATTCGTAACACTGACCAGAAACAACTAAGCAAACCAGCGAGCAGATCTCACAGTCGGGGGCCATCTGTTGCAGACTTTAGTGATAGCGAACCCAAAGATAAATCCCCTTGGGGTACAGCGACAAGGCAACAACATGGTCGACCCAGTCTAGAGGTTCCGGGACGCATTAAATCAAGCTCAACCGCTGCCATTATCAATTCTATGCCAAACTCGCCGCAATTATCTCCAACCCGGGAGTATGGCGAGAGTCCCTTCACCTTCGACGTGGAAATTTCAAGACCTTCAAGTCGCTCTCAATCTCCATCGAGGAATCCTCTCTCAAAGGTCAAGCGAAAAATATTCGACAAGAGCCGGGGTCATCTTGAGTCTCAATCCGAAGCAGAGGAGGAAGGTGAGCCACATGTTGTGGTGTATCCAGATGCTCTTTTATCACCAACGAGAACCATCGGCGGCAAAACAAATGAGGATGCATGGAAAGCCCATAAAAGGTCGACAAGTGTACGCTCACGCGCAGAGGAAGGTTTTGGCCTGCGAAGCATTCTGGCCGCACCTCGGATCGACACTGTGATACGCGGAAGTGTCTCAAAAATAGGGGATCTCATCTGGAGGAAGGACGAGGGCAGCGATTCATCATCTGATAGCTCGGATGAGTCTGACAGTGACGTTGCAAAAGACGCCACGAGGCCAATCATGTCCCGAGGAAGGTCAGCACAGAGTTCGGACGAGGTGCCACCGAACGTCAAGAACTTCTACGATGAAATGCCTCTTTTCCAGCATGTCTCAGAAATAAATGCACAAGCCGAGAACCGAAACGATAAACAATCTATGCTTGACAAGGCCAAGTCCGCAGATTCCAGCACATCACAATGGAATCTGTTGAAACCTCCACGGATCGACATTCAAAGCGCTTCTCCTGGCTCACCTTCTCCTATCCAAGAAGCAAGCCACTCAGAAGAATCGGATTATTCCGCCTCAAAAAGCCCTGTTGAAAGTGACCAGAAGGACCGAGACCATCTCAACGTTGACTCAAGCCCTGATGTCACTGGCAGAGCATCCGCCCGGCATTGGTCCATTACAGATAACAGCCTAACTCCCGAAAGTGCTCAGCTCTCAAGACGAGAAGTCGCCCGTATGAGAGCATTGATACTCAGTGCCGGCATCAAAGCCATGGAAATCACTCGCCGTGCAGGTGAAATACATAAACCTCTGGCCGACGGCGGCGTCAACATGGTCAGGACCGATCCAATCAGCAACGTTGGCGAGGTTAATTGGTCGGATATCGCACGACTCGCCCCAAACTCAAAAGAGTTGCAACAGCAGGAGGTTGTTGGCTGTGAGGTGTACCCTCTGGCGTCTCGTGCCTTGGGAATGGCGATGCAGGTGTCTGGGCAACGGTGGCAATCATCAGCCGACAGATTCACCAACCAGACTGTTCCAAATCTACAGAAACAATTGTGGCAAGTACGGTCTCGCCTGACAGATGATCTGTCACAACTCACCCGCCAGATAGCCGACGAGGCAGATGAGACAACTCAGAACCTTGCCCTGGATCAGCCTCTCAAAGTCAAACACGTTGTTGACGTGATGGACAAGTTGCTCCGAAAACGCCGCAGGCGGTTCAGATGGGTTCGACGAGGCCTTTGGTTGGCAGTCGAGTGGGTTCTTGTCGGCTTCATGTGGTATGTTTGGTTTGTGGTCACTGTTTTGAGAGTCTTTTTCGGCGTCGGGCGAGGTGTTGGGCGTGGCATTAGATGGCTCCTTTGCCTATAACACGTTTACAGCGGGCACGAGTTGCATTCCTACTTGTGTTTTATGCCCCCCTGGTCTTCTGGCCTATTTGCTTCCCTACACCTTTCCTTGTTTCTTCCCTTTTGCCCTACCTTACAATTTTTTTTGCCTTTGCTTTTTTCCCTTCATACAACATCCATTATCGGAAGGCGGTCGATTTAGGCCATGTTCTACTCATTTTCATTTAAGTACCATTTGCTACAGATACCCATTTCCAGAGATATAAATAACTGCATAGCTTAGGAGCCTATTTCTACCTATCTGTTTCCCGGATTCGGCGGTTTGGGATGTTTTGGTTGCATATCTTTCTTTGTCAAGGGGCCGAAAATTAACATATGTTATCCCGATGGAAGCATAGTCTGTCTAACTGGCCAGAGAATATTATAAAATTCGAACCATCCCCCCTAAATAGAATGCAGGGACCGACGGTTTCATAAGATAGAAGACTGACATAATAAAAAACCGAATTGAATACAAACATAAGAAACTACAGGTTGTGAAGTAGACGGTTAGCAACAAAGCAACGGGCCCTATCTAGTCTAGCGCTTTCTAGGCTCTATTCAATTCTCTTCTTGCCCTCCTCTGCGTTGAGGTAACGAGCTGTGCTCAATCCTCTCTCGTGCTTCGCCACGAAGGGTCCAACCAGGGAGTCCTTTCTGGCCTTTGTGAAGTGCTCGCCATAAGCGTCAACAGCGAACGGTCGTGGGTTAAGACGAGGCCAATTGACCTAGAAATCACGTCACGTTAGTCAAGTGTACGGTACAAGTAGTTATGTGTGCGGGGAAGAGGACTCACATAGAGCATGCCGTGGCCAACGATGAAGTGAATACACCATCCGGCAACGCCGAGCCAGAAGAGCATGAAGAGCCGGATGGGGAGTGAGCTCGATGTTGGATCCCTCTTGGTGAAGATGCTGATAAAGATAACGAAGGCGCTAAATGCAAGCAAGTAAGGGATGGACTGGATAAGGAGGGGTCGCTTGTCCACAAAGATGAGGTTGTTGCCGATGTTGGCAGCTCCTGGCTCGTATGCTCCGAGGAACAAATCAAAGGCATCCTGGCGGGGTCCGTCCATGAAGTTGTTGAGGAAGTATCGGGTGACACCGACTCGACCATCCTGAAGAGCACCCATCTTGGTGCGCTTACCAGTTCTTGTGACATCAGTCTTCATTGCGCCAGTACCGGAGTACGATTTGGAGACAACATCAGCATTGTCTGCCCACAAGTTTCGGAAGAGGAACTCGAAAGCCGGATCCTCGTCGCGGAATGAAGAGCCCCGCTGGAGCAAGCCAAGATCCTGGAACACGCGATCGAGCATGTGGCGTGCAAACATGCTCTGGACGACATTCGTGCGATCAAGGCAGTCCATGCAGTTGGTACGCATGACGCTGGTCTGGAGACTTCGAGCATCAATCACTCTATCCTTGTTCGCTGGCGTGTCAATGCCACGGAAGTACCCCTGTGCTTCGAGCACATTGGCTAATCTTTCCACAAGTGCATATGCCTTGTGCATGTTCATGCCCTTTGTCTCCGTGTGGTAATCAAAGTAGACGTAGTGAACGCGGTCGAACTCTTGCTGGGAACTGCCGGGCTGGATGGTAGTGAACTTTTCATCGGTAAGCCTGTCAGCTTCCTGCTTCGCGTTTGGAGACGAGACCAGTGTCTGGACCATCTTCTCGTAAGACTCCTTGATCTTCTGCTCTCGGCCTTTATGGTTGACAAGGTTGATGAGATAGTTGTCACCATAGATACGGATTTGCTCATCAAAATGCCTTCTTGCGGCTGCGGATGCGGACTCGGTACTTCGCACCTGAATCTTGGGGGTGTAGCGCAGGGTGTTGATTTCAGCCCAGTATGTCGGAACACTGCCTCGAGTCTGAACATAAGAAAAGAGCTGCACTTCCTTCTCGTTCGGTCCCCCAATTTTGCCGCTCTGCATGTCAGAACTGCCAGCATAGCCGCCTAATCCGCTGCTACGGTCATTGAGAATGACAATCTGCTCAGTCTCATTGTAGTTGGCGGCATGGCCCTTATCGTCCAAACCTCGGGTGAAGTATCGCGTGCCACCTCGGAAGCGTGATCGCCGAGAAATGAGGGCCAGCGTCAATTGGGTGCTCTTGAACGTCGTCGGCTTGATCTCAAGCATACCAAAGATGCACGGAAGGATGAAAGGGTCGACTCCAGCGCGAGGGCCTGGCTGGCTCCTTGAGCCCCGGTTTCGGAAGTTGATCAGATCGGATTGGAGATATCGGTTGAAAAAGAAGCGATCGTCGGCTCTCATCCACAGGGGATTTGTGGTGTCGGACTGGGACTGACGCTGGACCGAGTTGGTCAAGTCGATGGAGTAGGAAAAGTACATGGGGCCTTGCGCGAGGAACGTCTTAAGAAGCTCGATAAATGTATCCTCATCGGGGTCGTGAACTTGGCGCTCTCTCATGGGCAATATCTCAGTCGAACCGATCTTATAGATCATGTGGCCCTTGAGGCGGCCAACTGGGTTGGCTTTGTTGATGAGAATCACATATTTGTCTGCCCAACGTCAGAATCCCTCTGGGTGAATACTTGCAGCCGCATCCATCCAACGACTGTAAGCAACTGCTTGGCCAGACTAACCTAGTCTGAGCTGAACGATACCCAGAATACCAGCGATGCTGGAGACTCGAGATGCCCGCTTAGCAGTGGCGGCAGAACCTTCGCTCAAACGCACATCGCCGGTCGGGCGGTCGAGGATCAAAGCAGGCGCATCGGGGGAAGAGGGCGAGGTGAAGGTGTACGCGTCGGTGGTAACTCTGATGTTGGTATCCCGATAGGGAAGTTTCGCTGTCTGGAGATGGGCCATAGCAGCAGATTGATGTTTAGCGGATCCGTGGTGGGACTTTCAGTGGTACTGGACGATCCAGTGAGGGGTGGTGAAGCAAATTGATGCTTCCCGCATGCAAGCCACTATCACGGGGGATACTGAGCTTGCGTGGATAGTTTAGGCGTCAACAATCCTAAACTTTGGTGTTGGAGAGAGGCCACATCATTAGCACCGACCTGCAAGCCAGCTCAGCTTTGGAGGACATTGTCTGGGGCCTATTTTTGGCGGGTTGGCATGTTCCTGGCCAACCCCCCAATCACGTCACAGCGCCTGGATGAACCGTGGGACCCGCCTGGGAGCTTGTGAAAGCCACACGCCCCCAACAAGATACAGTCAGTACGGTGCCCACAGAGAGGTGCCTGCCTCACTGGGTGGGCGCCCGGCTTATGTAACACGTGGGTGTACTGTGTACATGCAAACGGGCAGAAGCTACACCGGAATTAGAGTACAGCCACCGGACGGCCAGGTCTCAGAGGACACCCCGTGCACCCATGAGATGGTCTGCTTGCCTGCTGACTGACCTTTTGGAGCGAACACTGACGTGGGTGCCTTCACCATTCATCTTTGTGTATGCCTATCCGCCTGCATCGTCACAAACACCAGCGTGGATATCTTCCGGATCTGGTCTCTGCCTACACCTCTTATCCATCGCATCGCTTCCATTCCGCATCACCGCCCACTGCCTTCGTGCCCCTTACACCCGTCGCCTAATCTATCAGGCAAATAGGCCTCTCAACAACTGATTCCTTCGACAGCCACCCCCTCCATCACCACACCGGCTCCGTTCTCTCCCAGGATTTCCAACCCCAAAACCCATTCACACACGCATCATGGCTTCTCGAGGACCCGCCGGCCCCCGCGGCTCCAATAACCGCTTTGCGCAATTCAAGCTGGTTCTGCTCGGTACGTCGCCATTATCAGTTCCCATAAGTCAAACATTGCTAACAGATGTGCAGGAGAGTCGGCCGTAGGCAAGGTACATGGCACATTACTCACGCATGCACTTGGAACAAACTACTAACATATGCATCCAGAGTTCGATTGTCCTGCGATTCGTAAAGGTGCGTCAGCCCGTCAAGCTCCATCTCACACGACCTTTCGTCGCTAACTTGTTGTCCAGGATCAATTCGACTCTTTCCGCGAATCAACCATCGGTGCTGCGTTTCTTACACAAACCATCTCTCTGGACGAGAACACAACTGTCAAGTTTGAGATCTGGGATACGGCTGGCCAGGAGCGATACAAATCTCTCGCTCCCATGTACTATCGAAACGCCAACTGCGCTGTTGTGGTATACGACATTACGCAATCTGTACGTGGAATTTACCAACCTCATAACGCACTGCATGAGTACTGACAGTTAGAAGGCCTCCCTAGATAAGGCTAAGGCGTGGGTGAAGGAGTTGCAGCGACAGGCTAACGAAAACATCATCATTGCTCTTGCTGGCAACAAACTCGACTTGGTCACCGAGCAACCCGATAAACGAGCGATCCCGACCGCTGATGCTGAAGCCTATGCACAGGAGGCTGGTCTATTGTTCTTCGAGACCTCTGCGAAAACAGCTGAGAATGTCCGTGAGCTCTTCACAGCTATTGCCAAAAAGCTGCCGCTAGACCAGGCAGGTCCTCGACATGCTCGACCAGGGCAGCGACCAGGTGTTACTCTGCAACCCGAAAGCGGAAACACCAACGCGGGCGGGCAGTGCAGCTGTTAGAACTCCTCGCGCAAGTAAACGTCAGATGAGGTTTCCTTCGCCGTGGACGTGCTATGTGGGAGCTGGGGTCAGCACATGGACCCAATACCGACAATGTCTTCCAGCTTGGCTCATATTTTTTCTTCTTAGTCCTAGCACCTCGTATATTCCTTGGAGTCTGGGTTCGTGAATGGTTTTCAGTTGACAATGTCTCTTCGTTCTTCTTTTTTAATATTAAGATCCGATTTTTGTTTCGGGGTCTTCGGGGTGCCGGCTGGATATCATTATTGTCTCTGGGTTGCCCAAATGCTTGCGGAGGATAGGGCTTAGGGAGAGGTTCAGCGGCCACGTTTCGAGAGGCACATGTAGCATTCAAATATAATCCGGCGCCTAATAGATTGCAGTGGTTTCAGAAACAGTCTTTTAGTTACCTTGTAATCTTAGTGATGTGTTGCCTAGTGAGAGGAAACGCAATTGCACGTCTGATCTACTGTGATTCGATACGAGAGACCTCAACCTCGGGTCGCATCTGAAATCCAACAGACCAATTCAAAATAACCACTCTTCTAGAACTGGAGAGTATGCTACCAGCCACACGGGGAATCTAGTCAATGAATCGATAGGCTGAGTCGTGTGATAGAGTTTGCCCTCAACGACCTAGGTACTTTGTAGCAGCTATAGGGTAGCATTGACCAATTGAAGGAATTGGGTGAGACGACTTGGAGGCTCAGAATGTCAGTTGCGTCACACCCACCCGGTTCCTACCGCCGTCACTAACTAGCCCGCCCAGCCCGCTGTGTCAGGTCCGCCCAGCCGATCAGGTCCGTTAGCCGAACTTTTTCCTGAGCGTTTTTGTCCAGCTTCCTGATCTCCATACACGGTCCATCGCCATTCCCTCTATCCCTGCGCCTGCGTTGGCCATACTCTCCCTAATGTTGCGATTATCGCTCCGGTCAGCGCGTGTGCTCGGTAGACAGCCCATTGCGGCTGCTGCCCAGCGCCAATGGCCTGTTGCGACCTCGCACCGAGCCAACCTGTTGCTTCAGGTAAGATCCTCGAACCCGACAACTACCACTGATAATTGGACATTGGGATGGGCTATATTCTAATACCATGATTTGCAGAGAGGGTTTGCCGACCAAAAGAAGTCCGAAGACGCGAAAGCCGCTGCTCAGAACCCCCCTCCTTCGACAATCGATGATGTTGGAGAGTCCAAGGCCAAGGAGATTCCAACTCCAGCACCACCTGCCCCCCCTCCACGTAAGAAGAAGGGTTTCTTCAGGCGACTTCGAAACCTCACATTGAACTTGATTTTGCTGAGTGCTCTCACTTTTGGTGGAGGTGTGTGGTACTCTCGGATCAACGACAGCTTCCATGATTTCTTTACCGAATATGTACCATACGGAGAGCAGGCTGTTTTGTATCTGGAGGAATTGGAATACAAGAAGCGCTTCCCTAACGCAGCAAGTCGCATTGGCAAACCCCGAGACAGCAGCGAGCAGGTTACAATCCCAGCCCAGAGCGGTGCTTCTTGGAGGGTTGCCGATGCTGCTGACTCAAGCAGACGATCTGGCACTGGTTCAACTCCCGCAAAGAAGGAGAGTCAACCTGCTAAGCCCAAGGCTGCCACGAAGACCCCCGAGCCTACGGCAAAGCCCTCTGAACCCGTCGCTGTCAAGTCCGAGGAGAAGAAGCAACCAGCTTTCAAGGAGCCCGAAGTCAATGAGCCTTCAAGGTTCCCACCCCTGAAGCCCATTGATCTTTTCTCTCTGGCCGATGCCAAGGAGCCAGTTGTTCAAGAACTTGTCCACATGCTCAATGATCTTATTACCGTGATCAACGCGGATGGTGCCCACGGAAAGTATGGATCTTCAATCGACAAGGCCAAGTCACAAGTGAAAAAGGTCGGAGGCCAGCTGAAGGCTATCAAGGCCAAGGTCGAGCAGGATTCTGCCAACGAGGTTCGCGTCAAGGTTGCCGAATTCGACAAGGCTGCCACCGAGCTTGTTAGTCGTGTCGAGAAGGCTATGATCGGCCAAGAGCTGCAATGGCGCAAGGAGTTCGAAGAGGAGATGGAGAAGGTCCGAGGAAGCTACGATGCCCGCGTCAATCTTCTGCTAGAGCGCGAGAAGAAGCTCAATGAAGCCAAGTTGGAGAATCAACTTCTTGAGCAGGCCATTGCGCTGAAGAAGGAATTCACCAGTGAGGTCCAAAACCGTGTTGAGAAAGAGCGAGAGAGCCGCTTGGGTCAACTGGATGCCCTCTCCGCTGCTGTGACAGACTTGGAGCAGCTGACTACCGGATGGAACTCGGTGATCGACTCCAACCTCCAGACACAGCAGCTTCATGTTGCTGTCGAGGCTGTCCGCGCCAATCTTGAGACCGCTACTCAGCCCCAGCCCTTCATCAAGGAGCTTGTTGCGCTTAAGGAGATCGCCGCCGACGATGCAGTTGTCAACGCAGCCATCGCCTCATTGAACCCGGCTGCGTACCAACGCGGACTCTTCACAACTCCTCAGCTAATTGACAGATTCCGCCGGGTCGCCAGTGAGGTTCGCAAGGCATCACTCCTTCCCGACAATGCAGGTGTTGCTAGCCACGCTTCCAGCTGGGTTCTCAGCCACGTTATGTTCAAGAAGCAGGGTCTTCCAGAGGGCGATGACGTGGAGAGCATCCTGACAAGAACACAGATCTTTTTGGAGGAGGGTGATCTGGACGCCGCTGCTCGTGAGGTGAATGGCTTGGAAGGCTGGGCCAAGACCCTTAGCAAGGACTGGCTGGGCGAAGTCCGTAAGGTATTGGAGGTCCAGCAAGCACTTGACGTAAGTATCTCATCACCAACTGCTCATCTTTCTGCCGACGGAAACTAATTTCTGCTATAGGTCATGGCTACCGAAGCTCGGCTACAGAGCTTGAGGGTGGAGTAAGGGTAGGCTTTTTCTTTTGTCCTGTACATTGGTCCTTCAAATGAAAAGGGGTCTTCTTCTGCCCGTGTATTAGATCAATAGACATGGGGTTGAATGGTATTACTAGTGTCTGTCTCATGAAATTCAGAATCCAAATAGTATTTGTCTGGCCAAAATGGAGGCCAATATGGTGACCAGGGAAGATGGGAATGTTGGAAGGCCCTCTCGCCGTAGTTCCTTTGTTGGTAGTACTTTGTAGATTTATGTACACACGAGCTCTGATGGTTCGGGACCCACCTGAACCTCCAAATGTAACATGTTTCCTCTTTTTTTTTTTTTTTTTTTTTTTTGGCCTTTTGGCTAGCAAGCGACTGACATAAAACATGGCACACTAAAGCTCTTTTCATTCAAGTTAGGGACCTTATTTTGTTATTAATAATACTAATCATAATAATATGTTAATTATAAATTATTCTATAATATTTAGCTTAATATTGTGTTTATTACTGGGTAAATTGTTTTAGTATTGTGTTGTAATTCAACACTGGAGGTTCTGGGTGTGCCATGTTTTATGTCAGTCGCCTGGCTAGATACCTACATGCCCAGCATTGCCCATTTCATTAAGCCTAGCTGTCTGCCGTCAAGACGAGCGATCGCTGCGGACCTGACCAGCCTGTCTTCTGTCAAGACGAGCGAGCTTCGCTTACCTTTAGGACTGCTTGCAGGCATTGACTTGTATGAGTGGAATCGCAATGAAGAAGTCATCGTTGCTAAGCAGTACCCGTGGCCACATCCAGTGCTTCAGCTCGGCCTCCCGCGGGTACACTGAAGCCCTGGAAAGGCTCTCCTTGCTCGGCTCCAACCGGACAAGCACGCGCCTCTTCGAAGCGCAAAGGGCTCCATCGACGGTATCCGATAAGTCGGCCCCCAGGAAGGATCTCAACGCAGATGCGATCCCTGAGATGCTCACTTGGCTGCGGCGCGCAGGATACACGCCGCATGACCTCTGCCGCATACGGCACATACACGTCGCGGGGACCAAAGGAAAGGGCTCTGTATGCGCATACGCGACGGCCATCTTGCGGAAATACGGCAGGGTTGGGACATTCACCAGCCCTCATCTCCTGAGTCCGAGAGAAAGGATTGCGATTGATGGGGAGCCGGTAGAGAAGGAGCTGTTTGCCAGGTCGTTCTTTGAGGTGTGGGATCAACTCACGGAGGCGGCAAGGAAAGAGGGTAAGACTGCGGCAGAGGCTGAGGGTCCTGAGTCGAAGCCGTTCTATTTTCGGTTCATGACGATATTGGCTTGGCATATATTTATCAACCAAGGGATCCGCGATGTTGTATTTGAGTGTGGGATCGGTGGCGAGTACGATGCAACGAATGTCCTACCTGCGGAGGCGGTGTCCGCAGCTGTAGTGTCGCAGCTCGGGATTGACCATGTAGCCATGTTGGGGGACACGGTTGAGAAGATTGCTTGGCATAAGGCAGGCGTGTTCAAGCGAGGGAAAAAGGCATTCACCAGACGTCTCGACGGCCAGCCAGAGGTCATGGCAGTTTTACGATCGAGGGCAGAAGAGAAAGGTGTTATTCTGGAGGAGATCGATGACGACGTTGTCAATGCTTGGGGAGGTGTCAAGGGCACCTTGAAAGGGGACTTTCAAAAGTTCAACCAGGCCCTGGCGATCTGTGCCGTGCGGGAACATCTTGGGCTGGAAAGCACAGCCAGAGTTAGCTTGCAAAACCCACCCGAGGAGATGATTGAGGGTCTGAAGGAGGCAAAGCTACGGGGGCGCGGAGAGACCATTGAAGATGGTGAAATGCAATGGTGCCTTGACGGCGCGCACACAAAGGACAGTTTGATAGAGGTTGCCCGGTGGTATGGTCAGGAACTTGGCGAGAACGGAAAGGCTGTCCTGATATTCAATCAGCCGGAGCGAGAGATATCGGAACTTCTAACCGCTTTCATGAGCACTATGAAGGCTGTCTCGGGCCGGGAAGATATCTTTAGCCATGCGCTCTTCACGACCAACGATGTAGAAGGACCAGCCGCAGACGAAATAAGGGATTTGGCTGTTCAGCAAAAAGGAGCTGAAACTATGAAACTTCTTGCATCAAGTTGTCAGGTGCAGATTTTTGATAACATCAGGGATGGTGTTTCGGAAGCAAGGAGAATATGCAAGGACCCAGGTGGTGCCAAGAGAGTATTGGTTACAGGAAGCATGCACCTTGCAGGTGGTGTTATTGGGGTTCTTGAGCCTTGGAACACTGATTGATGCCGGGGATGACTGTTTTTCTATCTAAACTGATGGTTGAATAACACCTAAAGAGCATCGGCATTCTCTAATATGCCCAGCGCACCACCAACCAAATGCAAGCTACCGGTGACAAAAGCTTGAATCTTTTCATCTTTAGTTGGCAGTGTAACTCCAAGTTCTCGGACGTGAGTAAGAGCCTGCTCGATAGTTGGTAAAACTACAACCGAAGCGTCAGGATCCAGAGACGACCATCTCTCAGCAAATCTCCTCTGCACTGCCAGAGACTCAATCTCCTTGGTATCATATTGGTTATTAACGAAATCGCGTTTGTAACCGGTTTGGGCGTGTGTGATATTTGTACAGAATATAACATGGCTAAATGGCGGGCCATTCTCTTGTTTGTTGGCAGCGAAAATCAGATTTAGGAAGTCGATGGCCTCGACCCGGCCTAGTTGGTTAAACACCAAGACTCGCGGTCCGATTCTAGATGTCTCGTTAGCAATGGGTACTTGAAGAAACACTGGCGGGTCTTGGGGCATCTCATTACTGTCCAGACGTCTCATTAGCGAACCATTTGGAAGCGAGCGTAAGGCTGTCGGCCGTATGTGCACCATCCAGATGCCAAACCACTTGGTCTTCAGCTTTGATTTCACAACGTCCGCGGAACATAGTGCCCTCGAGTGCTTTTCGGAACTCATCGGGCAGAACATCCTGGCGCGGTGTCAAGACCCCGAGTCGTGTCAAGGCAGTCTCCGCCAGGGCAGTCGCAAGCGTTGCATTTTTCTTCTGGAACTCGGCATCTGGACGTATTCGCACATCTCGAAGCCGAGGGTCGATTTTGAGAGTTTGCAAATCCACACCTTTCTCGTCTGCTCTCTCTTGGAGAACTCTTTGAGCAGCCGGAACTTGTTCAATGGTGAAAGCCGGGGAACCTGTCTTCATGATCCCCGCCTTGTGCCACGCAATTTTGTCGATGGTGTCTCCGAGTGCAAAAATATGATCAATTCCCAAGCTGCTGATACCGGTGGCCACCGGCCGCTCAACCACGTTTGTCGCGTCAAACTCGCCACCAATCCCTGTTTCATAAACTGCTACATCGACGCCTTCTTGCAAGAAGACGTGCCAGCTCATGAGTGTCAGAAAGCGAGCGTATGTAGGCCTGATATCCAGAGGAGAGCCATTTTCCTGATTGGCTTGCTCAACGCCAACTTCTTCGGCTGCCGATCCTAAACGGTCCCATACATCGAAGAAATACCTCGCAAACAGAGCCTCAGGTATCGGGGCGGAATTGATACGTATCCGCTCCCGCACCGAGACTAGGTGAGGGGAGATGAAGAGCCCCGTCTTCCGAGGAACTCCATGTGTAGTCCGATAGCGGGATAGAATAGAATCAACAAAGGCGCATGTAGTGCCCTTTCCCTTGGTGCCAGCGACATGAATGATGTTTAAACGATCGAGATCAGACGTCTAAGTGAAATAGTCAGTCGGGAATGGGCTGTACCTTATGCAGGTAGTTCAAGGCAATGAGCTTGGCTTTACACACTGTATAGCCAAGACGGCGTATATATGTCTTCATCTCTGCGATTGAGGATGCATCGGGCTTTATGCCAGCCTTTATCCGCGCTTTAAAAGCCGCATGAGAGGTTTGGAGGGAATTGAGCGAGTCGATCGCATTCTGTATCGTTATTAGTGGTTTCGCATAGGTTGCGCAGGGGTGCATGGATGCAGCCTTTCACTCACGTTGTATGAGCGAGCGGACGAAGCCATGCATCGAATGTATTGGCGACGATAAAGGATGGACGCAAACCCTACACCAGGCGCAAGCGTTCGTTTTTGAGGTGTTACCATCGAATGGAAGATGGCGGCTACACTGTGAGAATTGGAGTGTTTTGGAGTCGCATCACAGCCTGTTGTGTCATCATGTTGTAGGTGAGCAAAATGAGGGTCCTCAAACCAAATCTCGCGACAAATTTAATTCTCAATTCAATCAACCCGCCACAACTCGCTATCTAACATTCAACCGCCCGCACCGCATCATTTACAACATAATGGCTCGTATCAACATACAATTTGCCGTTTTAATCAACTGGGAGGTGATAAATTATCGGGAATATTCACGCGAACCTCCTGATTGTAGTGATCCAATGTCCACCCTTTCATTCCCTGTTCCAAAGCCTCACTGAAAGCGCGATGATACTGCTTCCCAGACGGCAGCCAAGCAGGGTTCGATCGCCAAGTTAACCATCTCTCAGCCATTGAACCTTCAGTGGCCCGCAGGATTCCGGTCGCGAGATCGACGACTGACTCCCCCCCTGGTGGGCAGCGCTCGTCGCACGTGTAGAAGACGGTCGCGCCGCAAGTTCCACAGAATGAACGCAGGACATTTGGTGAGCTCTGGTACGTTTTTGCGGTACCTATCTTCAGATCTCTCGCGATGGGAGGGTCGCATGCGGAGAGGGGGATAAAGGCCCATCCCACGAGATGGGTTCCATTGAGGAGCCTGCAGTCATCACAAGCGTCATACAGTGCCATCCATTTCGTCTGATCGAGAGGGGAGACAAAGTCTTTGAGCTGTGCGTCCTCGAGCACGTCCTTAGTTGGTCGACCGATGGTGAATGACACGCCGCCACAGTGACACTCAGCTCGCAGCCGCTCCCCGCCATTTGCGTCGTGCTCAAGCTTCGGGACTAAAGTCTCGGAGCTTGGATCATCGTGAGGAGGGTTCCAGTCCTCAAGTTGGAGCCCATCGACTTGGGGTATGATGGTAGGAAGCCCACGGTCGAACGTCGAATCGCTGTAGATGTGCCGCTTGACCTGGAAATTCTCAGGTCCGTGGTCCTTGAAGATGGATGTCGAAACGGTCCAGTGACCATCGTCACGATCCACAGAGGTGATGTGACATCCACATGTTGAGCAGAAATTCCAAGCCGATACGCGCTCTTCGAAAGTATAGACTGTCATATTTGCCTCTACAGAAGGCGATATGAACTTCATGGGTGCCTCTTTTGGCAGGTTGGTGTGGAATACACATGGCGCACCAGAGCGATAACGACACACCGTGCAATGGCAAAGATGAACTGGCAGGGGAAGTGCGACAATGGGAACTTCAACGGTGAAGTGCACAGAACCACAGAAGCACTTGGCTTCCAAGAGTTTGGTCTCATTCTCTGATGCCATGATGCAGTGAATCTGAGTTAAACAGGTGCTATGCTCTAGGATCTTAGGTGTTCAATTGTGAAGGCAAGTCGTTAATTACAGAACGAAGAGAGGCAGAAGACGCCTAGATTCACACGAATATATACTTTTTCTTATGTTAGACCGTGAACGTATTTCACGTATCTACCACGCCCTTTCTGTCAATCTCCAATCTCACATCGTCATGACTCACTGTGATGCGGCTCCTCACAATCACTGTAGATCAGGTATCTAGGGTAAGCATCTAGCGTTGGGAACGATGAGTTTGGGGCAGTTTAACCGAAGATCCACCAGTTCTTGGTGGAGCCTTGCCACTGGTTGTGGCTATTACCCATGTCTTCAACATGAATTTTTTCTCGGCTTTGGCTCTTCACATTCACATCGACTCAGTATGGCTCCGATCAAAGATAGTTTGATTGACCTCGAAAGACATCGCATTCTTCTACAGGACAATATCATAGAACTTCGGAAGGCTTTGCAGCACTGGCAAACGTGGGATGCTGAGTATGAAGGACTGAAAGAAGAGGTCACAGCAGCGGGTCCGTCGCCAGACGATCTTGAGCGCATCCAAACCGACTTCGACGGGGAGCTGGTGAAGCAAAAGGAAATCGGCGAGATTTTCGGCTTGACGGGCCAGAAGTCAAAGGACCAGATCCTCAATGTTCTAGAACGGCGAATAGATTATGTGACCAAGAACATTGAAACGCTTCAGAAGCAGCTCCAAGCGGCTGAGAATAAATACGCCGCGGCGTCGATCATCAGTCAGCCAGATGCTCGGGATGAAGAAGGCCAGCCCATTACCGAAATTCTCGAAGAACTAGATGAGGACGACAATGTCATCTCGTTCAAACTGAACAGGCCCGGTGAAGGGGTACCTCACATCGAAGAAGCGCTAAAGAAAGCTGGTATTAAAGATCTTGTCAAGGATCTTGCTCAGGCGAAGAAGGATGTGAAGGAGGATACCGGACGGGCGAGCACTCAGGCCCAAGTATCACAGCAAGAGAGTCCTTCAAAGATACAAGCAAAGGAAAAGCATGCTGCAGAATCCAAACGAAAAGACGAATTAGCTCCCAAAAAAAAAGTCAAAAAGAAGGTATCCTTCGCAGAAACTCACGATGACGTTGAGGAGGATGAGCCGACTGTATCCAGGATGGCTGCCCGGGTGGAAAACATCATGGATGCGGCTAAAGGCCAGGACGCTATTCTAAAAGAGAAGCCAGTAATACCTGCTGGCGAGTCTCCGGAGGATGCGGCCCTGCGAGAGGAAATGCTACGATATAGTATGGGTGAAATTGGGGCCGTTGTTGCTGAGCTCGAAATCGAGGAGAACCAGACCAGTGACTACGAAGAGGAAGATTACGAATTTGAGTACAGCGATGCTGACTTGGACGACGACGAAGATGATGATGACGAAGACAAATATGGAAGGTTTACCGGCAGCATCGTCACAGATGATTACCGTCAACGCATGCTCGAACTAGAGCAAAAGCTTGGCGTTAAGTCCCGATTCACCGCCAAGATGGAGGCCGAAGAAGCTCAGGAGGCTAGAGTCCAGGAAGTCCAGGACGAAAGCTCGGACGACGAAGGCATCGGCCGCATTGTGGTGACTCGTGGGGAGGATGCACCTTCTTCAATCCAGCCGAGCACCGATCAAACAGAGGGCAAGCCCAAGAAAAAAGGTGTTCGCTTTGCTGAGGATCTGGACATTGCCCCCGAGAAACCCCCAAAGACTACAGACGCAGCTCCTACACTAGAGAAGGAAGCCATCGTTGAGCCACTATCGGACATTGTTGAACGGTCAGGCTCCTCGAAACCCACGGAGGCTTCGTCAAACCGCAAACCTTCGCGTTTTAAGAAAACCAAGAGCAGTATCTCCGAAGCTGAAGCTTTGCCGAAAGGCCCTCTGGATGCGTCACCGGTATTTCTGGATCAGGACAGAGCAACAGCTCCAACTGGACCAGAGGGGAAGACCATTGCTGACCAGCTCGTGGAGCGGGAAACTACACCAGGTGTGGTGCCGGCTGACGATGACCTGACTGACATTACCCTCCATCAGGAAATTGCCGCGGAACACCACCGGCTGAGAAGAAAATTCATTCAGCGAGAAGGTGGGTTTCTAGAGGAGAAAGAATCTCCAACTCAACCAGTAGATGAAACGGAAGGAGGAGTAGGAAAGCGACCGAGTCGTTTCAAAGCCGCGAGATTATCCCAGCAATGAATAGCTGGATAGCCTCTCAGGTACTGCTCACAGAATCCAGAACAATGTCGAGAGAACAATCGATGACCTTTGCTGGACCATCTCGTCGATTGCTCAGAGTAAACATCAATTGTGACAAGCCTGTGCTATTTGATGATCTATTTGGTGATGTACGACTAACAAACAACGAGCTCCACCGCGATCAAGCGAGCTCGCTTGTCTAGCGAAACAGATACACGGAATGCCTTTTTAACTCACGAATGTTAAAAACAACGGGTTGCAGAAGTTCGGTTGCTTTCCCGTTTCGAGTGCGAATTCCAAGAATAATGCAGTGGGCTCTCTGATGTCATAGTCTTCGCTCAATTGAGCAAACTTTGGGTGGCTTTGGCATTCGTTAAGCCCTCCACATATTCGTAGAGTTCATGAAACACGTATACGCTCACACCAGTCAAAAGAAAAGCAAATGGCCCTGCATACTTCATAATATGGCCCTTGGCATAATTTCATGGGTCGAGCCCACGTTGTTTCAAACGGCAGTACCAGAGATCCGGAAGTTCGGCATCGGCACATTTCGCTACGGCTGATTTGGGACGCCCTCAACACCAGCCTTACGCGGCCTCGAAGGGCCGACCGTCAGGAGTCTGGACGCAGCACTAGCCACTTGCTTCAGCGGGCGGGAGCGGCCCAGTTTACCTTTAGCAAAACGCCAAAAGTCAATGTGATGGACGGGGAACAAGCCATACGGATATTTCGGCACACCCAGCATCGTATCGACGGCTATCCGGCTACAAGCCACACCTTGCCACGTCGTGAGGCCTCACAAGACTAACAGACGTGCCGGATTAATGAGGTATTCCATACTGGGAGAAGGATGATAAGGCGGTCATCTGTAATTATCGAACCAATGGGTATAAAAATCCCACTCTCTCCTTGGATCGCTTGCCGTGATATCCTCGAGCCAAACCACTCTCACTTACACACCCACTCTTCACATTAAGCTTCTTCTTCTTCTCCAACATCACCTCTCTCAAGATGCCTACCGTTGCCGAGCCCCAACAGCAAGCTCCCATGACTGACGTCACGGACGAGATTGTTTCCACCCAGCCTGTATGTCCAAATCATGATCGTTGAGTTGTCACCGGAAGCACGACCGAGCATGGACGCTAACGTAGATATCGTGACAGGGTGCCGAGCCTCAGCCCGAGATGAGCCTGCGAGGTGGTGAGGAAGCTGGATGTGAAATCTGCTGTGGCCTCTGCGCCTGTGAGGAAGGTTGCTGCTAAGCACTTCCGCGATCAAGATGGCGTGGATGATGGAGAGTCACTATAAAGTTCTACATATAAGCAATTTATACCCTTGATACATTCAATTATCGTATCCAGTTCAGAAGCCAGCCCCGTTCTCGTTCTGCTTAAGATGGATCGTGTCAACTTTGTTTTAGGTTGTTAAACAACCTTACTTGTACCACTGTTCTGGAGCCCATATGATCATGGTAGGAGTGTCACCCATCGAATCGTTTCATTTCCCATATCGGTCGTTGCAGCCAATGTGTAAAGCTCTATGGAATACATAATGTACATGTGGTAATACATTTGGAAGCCCTTAAAGCAAGGTCGGAATATCCAACAGGAATAAAATGTTATTTCCCGCCTGTAAGCCAAGAAGTCACGGTGTTGGCGATGGTCCCTTGGCCATCCGAAACCCTGGTCTCCTTTTGGTCCTTCTTCTTGGACTCTAAGATTTGCCTCATGTCGCGGGCAACCTCCGACTTGGCCTGCAAGTCGACCCTGAGGGCGGCCTCCTCCACCGCCCGTTCTTCCTCGGGTAGTTTCTCCAGCTGCTCCCGCCATTGCTGCTGGACCTCCTCCGATGGCTGGACGGTGGTCTTGGTAACTACTTTGGGAATGACGGGGTCAAATTTCGGAATGGGTGTGCCGTCAATCCTAGCCTGCTCCACGGCCTTCTCGTGCTCCAATACGCGTTGGTATAGCGCATCGGCGTGCATCTGAATGTCCTCCTCTACCTGGGCAGATCGGCCTGGCACTGACCCATATCCAAGGGCTCGGAGAAACCTCTGTGACATCCAATCATATCAGCATCTATCCAATTGGCCGGGTGGCGTCCGCATTTGCAGAATTCGCATGGGGGTTCCTTCATACCGACTGCATCGTGTAGCACTGTTCAAACTTCCGTACTTGGTGCCTGCACATCTGCACCTGGTCCTTCCATTCGCCATGCTTAAAGCAGTTGATCCAGCCCTCCTGAAACTCTGCGCAGTTTTCCATAGCAACCCGTGTGATGGCTGACTTGCGCTCCTGGTAGCCTTCCAAGACACCTACGAGCCTCTCGTGGTCGGTCGCAGACTCCGCCTCGATCTGCTTCTGCGGCTTGTAGTTCTTCCAGAGATGCGCATAGCGGCCGTCTTGGTATAGACTGGCCTCTGGCACCAGCGGCTTGTTCTCTTCGGGTGCCTGGGCTGTCGTCGCTGCAGGGCTGGATCGTTCTTCAGGCTTGTCGGTTTTTTGCTGATATTTGACGGGTGACTCCTTTTCGAGGAATTCGCGGAGCTTGGGGTCGAGCTTGTCAACTGGGTCGGCCGCCTGGCCACCTCCGAATGGCCACCAGCCCATTGCGCCGGATGGTTTTGGATTCTGGGGTTTTGATCAGGTGAAGCTTTTTGTTCGAGGTCGGAATCGCTAACATGGGAGCTAGGCTTGCAGGGGTCGGCTCGTTGCGGCATGGACTGCCCCGCCGTGAAAACCTCCATACCCTGAATTTGCGGATCGTAGCTAAGAACAAATGACCACGGTAACAGTTCAACCACCACAATCAATTTAACTATGGTTGATTACCGTAGAATGATCAATGGACTGGACAGAATCGGGACCGCTACAAATACAGGCCTGCCTATACAGCATATTGGGCGAACTGCTCTGCGTGAATACTGGAGACATTGAGATGTTGGTCATTTACATGGCTTTACCGAGACCAATTGGCCATAACGGCGAGCTATGTAATTTATAAGTCACAAGGTGGGCGAACCAGTGAAGCAAGGCAAAGGTCAATATGATCCCATTGAAACCCTGTCTGCAGACCCGAGCAAATGAACATGGAATAGAACCAGTGCGCCTCGATTTCGAAAGGGCCAAAGTTTTTAGACACCGCACCCGTTGCTGTCATGAAATCTTTTTTATTCGCGATTGTAATATAGCACAATCATTGCAACATAGCTTCCGGTACCCGACCCTCCAGTGGGAATAACCTCATCCCCCCTGATGTTTACCACGCCAAAAATGCCAGAAGAAGGGTTCAACTTTTTAGAACTTGCTGAACTTCTTGACTGCCTTGCCAGTTCGGGGCAGCACGCGAAGGACGTTGAATCGGACCTGGAGTAAATTTTGTCAGCACTTCCCCTCCAACATAATACACATTGCCATTTTTGTTTTGTTTTTGGCTGTCTAACGTACAGTCTTGCTCAGAGGACGGCACTGGCCAACGGTGACCTGGTCACCCTCCTCAACACGGAAAGCAGGGGAGACGTGGGCAGCGAGGTTCTTGTGGCGCTTCTCGTATCGGGAGTACTTGGGGATGAAGTGGAGGTACTCGCGGCGGACGATGACAGTTCGGTGCATCTTGGTGGAAACGACGGTGCCGGTCAGGATACGGCCACGGATAGAGACGAGACCGGTGAAGGGGCACTTCTTGTCTGCAGAGCCGTTAGTATGACTGTGCCCGAAATTCCCCCTCGCTTCGCTTGTGAAGTTGCCGCCTCCAATCTTGGCTCGGTGCCGTCGTGTGCCCGGTCGAGGGCCAATTCGCACATACCGATGTAGCTGCCCTCAATGGCAGTCTTGGGGGTACGGAAACCCAGACCAACATCCTTATACCATCTTCGGCCGCCCTTGCCAGGTCGGGCAGACTTGGTCTTGACCTTGGAGTTCTGGAAGATATGAGGCTGCTTCTGGAAAGCACGCTCCGACTGGACGGTCAACTCGGTCGCCCTGCACTTCCGTTAGTAATCGATTTGTTTAATGTTGACGGGTCGCAATACTGACATCTTGAATGATCGTTTGCCAGGCAAGAATTGGGCGTGTCGTAAGGGAGTTGGCTGGGCGTGTGATAAGGTCGAGGATTGTTTTGCGCGGATCAGGAAATAGGGCACATACACGCACCAAATTTTGCATCGACTTCCCACCTTAGGGCTTACAAAATTTCGATTGGTGGCCAGACATCTTTGTGGGGGCCAGCTTTCTGAAGCACGTGATGATTGCCTGGTACCTTCACGTGACTGTAGGTGGCTTATCGATACCCGCTCCCCATTCACTTACATCACTCTGTAGGGTTTGTCAAGTATGCGCTAAGCCTAGAAGGGAAAGTAAACAAACGCGCCGTGGTATCCATCATCAACATTCGTGTAGTGGGAGCCATGAGCGACCGTTTCTCGCCATACCAGTGTCGATGAGAAGTTTGTCGCACTCAAACGCAAGATGTCCTCCTCGGGGCAGACGACACTTCCGCCCACACGCCGTGTACGAAAATCGATTGGCGCGCACACTGATGCCCGCAAGGCAGCAGATAAAGAGAACGTCACCATGGACCTGGGAAGCAACTCGCTCGCCATGAACCGAAAGTTAAGGAGCAAGAGTCTTGGACCTGGTGGGCTGGATGCCTTAAAACATGGAAACGGGAATAGAAGAGCCGTGAGTTTTGAGAGGCTTTTGCAACATACAATTTGACCTGCTAACGTATCGTCAAGTCAATTGCAGCACCATCCAAACCCCCGCGATCGATATTGAAAACCCCCGTCAACCCACTCCCCGAGATACCTCCTTTAAACAATGGGGGCTCAAAGAAATCCGGAGCAGACGATACATTATCCGGATCACAGTATGATAAATCAAACGGCTCCAAGATCGCCTTGCGAACAGAAGAGGAACAGCAGGCAGCCGCGCGCGAGCGCGAAGAGAGAGAGAGGCGCGATGCCCGGCGCAAGTCACTGGCGAACCGCCGAGTTTCCTTTGCGGCCGAGGCCACTCTCCACACTTTCCACGACATCGATTACATGCAGGATAAGGCGGCGTCGGCGAACCCATCTCGGCGACGCTCTTCGGTGTCTAATAATGCAGGCGGCCCAGGGAATGACCGCAGCTTAGGGTCACTGGAGCAGCCACAAGATAACGACGAGTTCGCTCAAGATGGAGGGAAATACGATTATGGAAGAGACCAGGACAATTTATCTTCAGGTGCTCCTCATTTTCGACGCGACGACACCGGCACCACAATGTACAGCTCTGATTCCGAGCCTGCCGATGCAATTGAGGAGGATATTGTCGAAGAAGACGATGGTGACGATTCTAATAGCGATTCAGACGATGGTACCATGATGACCATGGTCACAGAGGATATGACTGGCACTTCGATGGGCTCAGACAGAACTGACGACAGAACTGACGCTTTCGATGATGATGAAGGAGAGTCTTCAACTCTTGACGAAGCGCTGCGTCTTGCGGTTCATCGAGCCGGTATGCAAAGATTCGACGATGAGTCTGAAGAGGAAGAAGAAGAGGTCATCCCCTCATTTGGATGGATCAAGAAGGGAGGAGACCAGGCATCGGCTAAACCGCAAAACCCTCCACCTGCGGCAGCAACATCCTTTGAGGAGCCAAGCAGCCCAGTCCAAGATGGTACAGAGATGGATATGGATATGGACATGGAAATGACTAACGCTGTTGGGAAGATTCTGAAGCCTAACAACGAGCCTTCCATGGAGGAGGACATGTCCATGGACGTCACTCGTGCTTATGGAGGAATCCTCGAACCGAGCGCAAAGAAACAGAGCAAGCAAGCTTCACCAGAGGAGGAAGATGAGCCAATGGAAGAAGCCACGATGGAATTTACTACCGCGATCGGTGGCATTCGTAATCAAGTGCTTGAGTCGGACGGGTCGGACGACAACGAGGACATGTCGATGGAACTTACAACTGTCATGGGCGGTGTTCTTGGGAAGCAAAAGAGGAAGAGCATGGCCGCGAGTAGCCGCAAATCTTTAGCTCAGAACACTGAGGCTGGAGATCTCACCATGGACATGACTGTTGGAGTTGGACGTATTCTTCCTCAGGCCAACATTGATTTGGCTGGAGATGATGAGGACGAAACAATGGGAATGGATATCACTACCGCCATCGGCGGAATTCTCAACAAGAAGACCGATAGCACACAAGAGCTCAGCCAGCAAATACTCGAGGAGGATGCTGACTTTTTAAAAACGCCACCACAGAACATCGTACCACCTGGCCGCCGGAAGTCGAGCTCTCCTGCGAAAAGATCAAGTCCTCGGAAAGCCGCATCCCAAGCGACATTAGAGGATCAAAGCCCTGGACTGTCTGCCTTCCGAGGGAAAGGGCTGCGTCATAGCAACGTACAACCATTGTTGCCGTTAGATGAAACCCCTCAACCTTCAAGACGTTCAAAATCGCGAACGCCTTCGCCAGCGAAAACTCCTACATCTCGCGCTCTTTCTATCTCGTCATCGCCGCTGAAAAGCGCACAAGCCTCTCGTCGAAGCGCGCGCCTCTCGTCGCCCGAGAAACACTCAACAACAGCAAACGAAAAGACCAACTCACCTGCCAACATTTTGTCTACCCCGTCATCAATTTTCCGGCCCCATACACAGGCTCAAATTCAAAGTTCTCCTTTGGTTCTCACGCCTCAGCGCAAGCTGACTGGTGTAGGCGCTGATCGAAATGGCCTTGGATCACCACGGGTGACTGCCTTGTTTGACCGCAGAACCTCTCTTGGAGAAGCTGCTACGGAGTTCGTTCCCAGACAAGGAAAAGTTGTCTTTCAAGATCCTAAAGAATTTGAAGATGACATGAACGATCAAGAAAACTTGGAGAGAGGCCTAGAAGCTCCTCAGGAGGACAAAAATGCAACTCTCAATCTTAGAGAGATGATCGATAGCCTCAGCCCAAAGAACAATCCATTTAAGGGACGAAAGAGCCTTCACGTAGGAAGTGCCAGGGGTCTCCTGGGAAAACGTCCCCTCGAGCTCGACGAGGAAGCTGACATGGAGGAGCAAGATGGAGTCAAGAGGCTAAAAAATCATCAAGCTAGCCCTGTGAAAAACATCAGGCTCCAGAATCCCCCTTCGAAGGAGGAGACTGCACCGACCCTGGTTTCGCCGACAAAGAATCGCATTCAAAGAAGTCCGGTCCGTATTACGCGATTCGGCGGTATCGATGACGAGACGGTCACCAGCGTTATGGATAGACAGGATTCAGACGAGGATGACCAGGAGGATGAGATACCAGGGGATCGCCTTCACCTGCAGGACTTTCTCAACATGACCTCAATTCGATTCATGGAGCTCACGACAACGAAGCGTCGCCAAACTGTTGCCCCCAGCATTCTACAGGACGGCTCGTTGGCTGACGGACGTGATGATCTATCTCTAGAGCGATGTGTTGTGGCTGGTGCATGCACAGTTCCCACACTCGAACTCTATCAGCACTCCTGTCGTGAGCTCAAGAAGTACATTTCGGAAGGTCGGCGGATAGTTAAGGAGATTGAAACCGACACTTTTGAAGAGAATCCGCCTCTCTTCCGCGAGTATATTTCCGCTACCCCGGAGGTGAAGGCCCTCATGGACAACCAATTCAAAAATGTCAAGACTCACGCTCGTCTGCTGAGCAAAGCCATGTGGTATGAGTGGAGAATGAAACTCCAAGATGGACTCAAGGAAGGCCTGGTCAGAATTCTAGACGATCTGGACACAGATGACAAGTTTCTGCAGACTCAAGCTAATTTGCTCCGCTCCGTCTTGCCCAAAATGGTAGAGAACCACGAGGTGTTGCGGGAGCAAGCCCAGAATCTTGAAGAAGCCGCACAAGAGCTGGCTGATTGTGACCCTGGCGAGTTGGAGGCTGCGCGGGACGACCTCTCCCGCCTCGATCATGACATCGCTGCCAAGAAAAAGCAGATTGCTGAGCTACGAAAATTGTATGAAGATTCAGAGAAGGACGTCGAAACCTTGACTACGAAAAAGCAACTCTGCATTTCAGATATCAAAGAAGCCGAGAAAATACGGGAGGAATGCCGCGGATGGACCAGCGCTGAGGTTGATGCAATTAAAGGTGAGATGCAAGAATACTCTAATGCCTCATATCTGGATCGTATGCTAACATGAAGGGCAGCCCGAGTTGACGCGATCGAAGCTGAGCATGGCTGGTCAGTGAGCGGCATCAAGGGAACCATGATTTCGATGACCTACCGACGGGAAATCGAGCTTGTTTTCGACATTTCGGCATTTGGTGGCTCAGCAACAAGCCTCAAGATTGATCTGTGGTACATTGCCGATAGCCGTGATACAGATCCCCTCCCGCGTACAGCCGAGAAAGAGTTCTTTGTTCAGTGCATTCGCAATCATGTTTGCACCCTTGCTCCCAGTCGAACCACAGTAAGCGATGTCCTGGCGGTAGTTCGATTGGGATGGGACAAGGCCACCAAAGTGTCGTCGCAAATAAAGCGAGTGAACACTTCATTCCCTACGACTGTATCCAAGACTTCCGACACAAGTGTGGCTGTGTGCAGTTCATTGCTGCTGGTGCCTCTTGCAACCCGTGTCGAGGTCATCTTAAATCTACATGGGCGAAATAGCCCGCAAGGCATCGTGGTGGGCATCTCCCCCGAAGCTCGTGTCATTTACGGCGAGCATTTCAACGTCTCCAAGATCGGGGAGTTTCTCTCTACGAAACTTGGGGAAACTGTTACAATGGGCCCAGAGGAGGTCTGGAGTGACGTTGCAGTTGAGCTGCATGAGCGGCTCATTGCAAGGGGAAAGAAGGCGTAATCGCGTCTCTGCTTGATTCATTTTCTTTTTTTCAGACACACAGACTATTCACTACATATACCATGATGATTGATGATGGGCTTGGATGGTCGGAGTTTGGCGTGAAGGTATCTAGGATAGTTATTGTGAATCATAACAATGGTTCAGGGTATTCGAGCGAGGGGAATTTGGGTATTAGCTTAATAGTCACGTCCTGTAGCATCAAATTCCATTCGATTAAGCATAAGGCAAAAGAAGAAAGGATACGTCTAGACACTGAGGCACTCGACCGTTGCACAAAGGGGATCCTGCCCCCATGTGCATTGTTTGCTTGCTTTAGGTCTCTAACAAAGGGACGGGTGCGTTTAATTCCGCCCATTCTGCGACGATTATTCTTTAGATCCGGACAAGTGCCCATTGTTTGCGGGACGTCCAACTAATTTCATGGCGTTTTGTGAACAAGTGGTGCAGGCGCCCATGTGATTGACGCAGGTTCATAGAATCATCGCCGCAACCAAGTGAATAACGAATAAACGCACCCACCGATTCACATACAATGAAAATGTCACCAATGACCTGTGATTACTGTGCCCTCCAACTATTGTGCTGTGAATTATTGCGTTCTGGAATAATTGTGTCCTGGAAAGTTGTGGTGCATTGGCTGGGTGGTCGTCTGCGGCCGTCTGCAGTCGTTCTCACCTGCTTCTCACCTGCTCCTCAGATCGTTCTCAAGCTCAGGTCATTCTCAGAGTGATTCCGCACTGCTGGAGGCGCGTCCTGGACCTACTTAAATGGGCAGAACTTCTTCCTCCTCTCACTTTTGTTTTTCTTTCTTCTCCAGTCTTCATCGTACCAAAGAGTTTCTACAATCTTCCGAAGCAATTCGCACTTCTCGTCACCGACGCAATCACTTCTTTCTGGCACACAGTGCAATTTGTTCTTGAAGCATTCTCTCCTCGCAGTCACTCTTTCTCTCCTCCTCCTCAACTCCGCAGAAGCAACCAACGCCGTAGGCCTTTGGAAGCATCTGAACGAAAACGACACCATGAGCGAACAGTCCCTTGTGAACTTGGACGCCGTGGCGTCGCGTTTCTGGAAGTTCTGGAGCGGCCCGCAGTGCCTGGTCGAGTCCCTGGTTGCAATTATTTGCATACCAGCGTTGATTCTTCCGGTGATCAACTGGGGCCTGTACGACGCAGACCCGACCACACAGATGGTGATGTACGCTGTGTTGGTCTTCTTCGTGAACATGTTTTGTTCACGAGAGCCGGTCTTTAAGTTCTTGGCGATCCTGAACCTCTTCCTGATGTATGTTCCTTGGGGAGTACTTGTGTACGAACCTTGGGACATCCAGTGGGACGAACGACCGTACGGTTGGGATGGTTGTTTTGACGACATCCTCCGATTATGGTTCTTCGTGAGCTATCCTGCTCTGGTCTGGATCACTATTGATGTACTAAAGACCATCAACCTCACCCTCACCCTCGCTGTCGCCATGTTCCGAAAGGGAATAGTCACCGGCTTGCGCCATGTCTTTCCCGAACTACAGCAACAGCCCTCCGATTCGAATGAGAAAGCCGGAGACGACGCCTCGGAATCGAGCTCTGACTTGCAGTGTGCCGACGCCGCTGTCAAGGACAACTCCTTCGATACTGATTCCTTGGTTTGTCGATCACCCTCCGACTTGAAGGAAGAGCAGTGCGCTACGGCCACTGTCTCTCAGGATCCTGCTGGTCAGGACCGCCGACCTCCTTCGCCTCATCAATCGCCTCCTCGTCACACACCTTCTACCTTCCGATCCTCTTCTCCCTCCCGACCGTCTTCTCCCCGACGATCAATTACCCCTGCGACGCTTGACCTCAGTCACCTTCGCAAGAGGAAGCATATACCGATTAATGGTATGCAGGAAGAGATGGCGAAGCTCAAAGCTTCCATTGACGGCATGACTAGTTATGTCAAGACCGCAGTTGGAAAATTGGGCGAGCAGATCTCATCGCTTGAGTCTAGAGTAGACGAGATTCCTCGTCGAAATGACGAGCAACTCGCTGACGCCGAATTCAAGGTGAAGCAGTTGCAGCAAGTGGTGGAAGATCTCCGTTGCCAGATGGACAAGCCAGTCAGGGAACTGAAGGAAAGGAACTTGCGTTTGGAGCGCCAAGTCCTTGATCTCACGACCCAGAAGCGGATTCTCGAAGCAAAAAGCGAGCAGTATGCTACGCAGGCGCAGAGAGAAATCGCGGCACTGTCCAGGCGACGAGAAGAAACGACGAGTGCCTCACCGAGGGCTCATGCTGCGCTTCAGGAGCCAGTACGCCCGGAGGAGGCAGCTCTGATTATCGAAACGGAACCAGTCTGCACAGCAGAGGAAGTTCCCCTAGAAACGGAGCCCGTTCTGATGATGGAAACACCATCACAGATCGTAGAGGAACAACAGAAGACGGACATCACCGCAGTTGTTCCTGGAACAGGGGCAGAGGAACCTCGTTGGCCGATGATCGACGAGGTGCTAAGTCGCCTGGATCGGGAAGAGGACGAGCTTTTGCTCGCGTCTCAACCTGTGACAGCGATGGCCACCGTGGAAGAACCCATTCCCGCAAGTACTCCCCAGCTGAAGGCTGTTGCTAGTCCTAGCCAGCCTGAAGCCATTGAGCTCCAATCTGGAGTGGGTGAGATCACTTTGGGAACGGAGTCGACTATGGTGTCCCTGCCCCAGGAGCAGAACGAAAGCCGGGCCCACGACGCTCCCCAGCGGGAGGTCGTTCTCGAATCCGACCAGATGAGCTTCACGTATGAGGAAGACATCGAAATGGCCGAGATTCCCGAAGTGGCTAATGTGCTTACGAACATACCAATCCGTGACTCTACTCCTTCGCCAGCGGTTTCGGAAGCTGACCCCATGTTGGAGGATACAGCTTCCATTCATACCCACGAGAGTATCGAGTGGGAAGAAACCCTACTGGCAGGAGACCAGAGCACGCATGTGGAAAGGTCCATCGGATATGGCGACGAGGATATCGAGCTTACAGACCGTCCTGATGACACTGTGGAAGGCCCATTCTCGAATGGATCACCTAACACGGAGATGACGGATGCGTTTGTGCTCCCTCAAGCCGTTCCGAACTCGTTCATGCTCCACCAAGCATTCTTGGACTCGTTTGCGCACACTCAGGTTACTCGGGCCTCGAATGAGGAGATACCAGTACCAGAGACAGTGATGCAAGATCTGGACGCCATCCTAGAGGAATCTGATCCTGAGCTGGAGGACGGCTTTAGCTGCCCACCAGGGACGGAGCAAGAGACCGCAGTTCCAGAACCTGTCCTTGAAGACTTGGTTTTGAAGATTGAAACGAACCCAGAGACCGAAGCCATAGAAGCCCCTGTTGACGCTGGTCCTCAGCAGGTGGTGGACAGTGCCGAGGTTGAGGAGTTGAGCTTTCAAAGCTTCAATGTTCCAACCTTTAGTGAACCGGGCGTGATGGCCCCAGTTCACGCCGACGAACTCGACCCGCTCGACATCCTGGAGGAGGACCTGCAAATTCAGTTCGAGGAACTCGAGAAGCGCGAGCTTCTCCCCTCTGCAGCTCCAGACGATGACGCGGGCGAGCCTGATCTGTCGGCAACCCTAGAGAGGGACCAGCAGCTGCGTGAGGATTACGAGAAGCTACAGCTTCTCGCCGCCGCAGTCGCAGGCGACCCTGACAACGAATTGGACGAGGAGGCTCAACTTGAGCGCGACCTGTACGAGGAGTTCGACAGGATCGAGCAGGAAGGATTTATCCTCCCCGCCGTTCCGACCGTTCCGACCGTCGCGGCCGCTCTTGGAACAGCACCCGTTCCATCGTTATTTAGCCAGTTCGCGGATTTAGGCAGCGCGACGTTTTCTTTTGGAGAGTCAACAGAGCCTGCGAACCCTGCAACTGCGTTTTCCGGGGCCGATACCACGGGAGCTTCGGCGACCAGACTGGTAGCCCAGGTGGCAGAATCAACTAGCCGACCCAAGGCAGTCGGTTCTGCCTACTTCGACGACGAGAATGCGCCTCTGTCTCACGGCAAGCACATCTCTCTACCGGAGGAGCCGAGAGTCGCCACGGCGGAGGAGATGGCTCGTCGAAAGACGAGCCAGCTGCCGCGGCGCTCTCAGAAGTGATCAAAAACGGAGAGGAGACCGTTGTGCGAACACATTCCTTGTACGAAAATAACGAACGAAACCATTGTACGACCAAATTCCGCTGAGCTGGTCTCGCGATGTATGAATACGACCCGTCCGATGTATAACGAAACGAATTACGGCATGATTTACGATCGATCAGAATGAAACAGAAAGATGGAGAGGGAAGTTGGCTGCTGTTGCTTATTATATGTCTGGCTCGCGCTGGACGTTGTGACACGCCATACCTATTCTTCAACCAAAAAAAAAGCCCGTTCTTTCTTTGTTTCTACATTTCTGTACGACATGCTACGAGAAGCTTGAGATTGACTTCTTCCGTTTCGATTTACCGACAGTATTCTTTATTCAAAATTGGTCCGACAGTACAACAGTTTTAATTTCGCCTTCGTTCACCCCCAAGATGAATCAACATTCTTATACTTCATCTCGAGGCGATTTCGTTCTATTTCGTTCTTTTTCGTCAGCGCGTGGTTCGGCAAATACACCCCCCAACTTTCTAAACATCGTTATTTGCGTCTGAGATATCTATCTGTCTTGCATCGAACCGCGCAGAGACGAAACCGACTGGCAATGGCATCCTGAGCCGGAAACCAGTCCGCCAGCAATGGCACTGGATCAAGCGAGCCTTCAATAGCTCCTGATCTTTACTTCAACTACAATACAATCCTCACCTAGAGGAACCAACAATTTGGCAGGCATCATTATCTAACGCCTCCCAATATATACCTACATACTTTGTGTTCATCAATTCCTTAGATGAACCGGCCGCCTTAGGTTCCAAACCAAACCAAAGGCACATCGCTCCTTGGTCAGCAGGAACAATCAATAGCCTGCTCACCAACAACAAAAAAACCAACAAATAAACCAAAAAAACCAAAACCAACAATACCCGAATCCCCCGACATGACCCAAACCTTTTTTCACTTAGGGGGATTCATACTGGACACACGAGGGAGAGTGTCCAACGAAAAGGGCGCAGACATCTTCGGCCATGATACATACGGGATGTGATCAAACCACCAGGTCCTCCGGCATTCGTGGCTCACCACTGCACCCGGCATTGACGATCTCATTTTTTGATTGCGTCAAAAGAGATCGTCATGCCAACATTGGTGATATTTCACCTAGCTCGATGCCACCCAACTCTTCCAACTTGTGGCAAAAGAGCACATCAATTGAGCCCGAGAAGCTCATATCTCGCGGCACATTGAACCAGCAACCTCAATTTCCCAGGCATCGACATCATATAACTACAATATTCATCATAAATAACCAAGATGAAACGATCGCCTTGGGTTTGAGAACCACCCAAATTTCTTGGACCACCACGAGGCTTACTGAAGCAGCCTCAACTTCCAGGCATCGGCATCTGATAACTCTACATCTCATTCATTAATCACTAGATGAGCCGATTGCCTTGGAATTTAAATCAATTCAAGCTTCAACTCCCATTGGCATCTAAAACCTTCGAATTCATCAATCCTCAGATGAACCAACTGCCTTGGGATCTAAACCAATACAACTTTATTGTCAGCACGAGGCTCTCCAAATTAACCTCAACTGACCGGCATCGGCATCTAATATCTCCAAATTCATCAATCTCAGATGAACCGACTGCCCTGGGACTTCTCAAACAAATTTCTACGGTCAGCACGAGGCTCTCCAAAATACTCTCGACTGACTGGCATCGGCATCTAATATCTCCAAATTCATCAATCTCAGATGAACCGACTGCCCTGGGACTCATCTCAATACAACTTTCTGTGGTCAGCACGAGGCTCTCCAAAATAACCTCAACTGACCGGCATCGGCATCTAATATCTCCAAATTCATTAATTATCAGATGAACCCGACTGCCTTGAGTTTCCCAATAACCCAAAGTTTCATGCTCAGCGCGAGGCCCAATAAAACCACGCTCAATCTTCTCTGGACTGCCTACTTCCAAAAATGACTTCACCTTCATCAATTCTCAGATGAACTGACTTCCTTGGGCTTCCGCTGAGCATAAACTTTCATGGTCAGCATAGGGACGACAAAATCATCCTCAAGTCTCCCTGGACCATTTACCTCCGAATATGATTCGTCATCATGAATTCCTTAAACGAACCGACCAGCATGGGCTTCGTATCGGCAAAAGCCCATACGCAACGCCTGCCTCACTGAAAGAATCCCCACGATTCACCTGCCAAAACTGTGAGGCAAGAGTGTAATGATCAGCACAAAAAGCCCATGCCCAGCACGTGCCTCACTGAAAGAATCCTCGACTTCAACGGGATTCACTTGCCAAAACTGTGAGGCACAAGTGCAATGGTTGGTTCAAAGCATGCCCAGCTCGTGCCTCACTGAAAGAATCCTCAACTTCAACGAGATTCACTTGCCAAAACTGTGAGGCACGAGTGTAATGATTCAAAGCATACCAAGCACGTGCCTCACTGAAAGAATCTCAACTTCAACGAGATTCACTTGCCAAAACTGTGAGGCACAAGTGCAATGGTTGATTCAAAGCATGCCCAGCTCGTGCCTCACTGAAAGAATCCCCAGCTTCAACGGGATTCACTTGCCAAAACTGTGAGGCACGAGTGCTTATCGCGTACCTCATTGAAAGAATCTCTAGCTTTAATGAGATTCACTTGCCAAAACTGTGAGGTACGAATGCGATAAATGACACAAAAGAAGACCGCAATACACTGCGGCAGGAATTCACAGGGAAAGCCTTCAGCTCTCACATGAAGGTAGACAGCCCTGGCTACGATGCGAATGGAGAACTCGAGTCAAGCTACCAGACTCAAAATGATCCAAGTCAATGGAAAATAGCCTATCTTTGTTGACATTGATAACCGTCTATTTAACGACTCTTACGCCCTAAGTTGACGAACTGCGATCATCAAAAGAATGGCCACAGGCCCTCGATTGGTTTCTGAACCAATGCCTCTATGGTGCTTTCCCGGGACAAACCAATCTTTACTTCACCTTCATCCACCCCTTGGATGAACCAACCGCCTTGGGCTTCCCCTCAGCACCTTTTCCTTGGTCAGCGCGTGGCTGGCCAAAAACATCTTCAACCTTCCAGGCGTCATCATCTAACACCTCCCAATCAGGAGCCGGGGCATCGCCAACAAGCTTCTTTTTCAGCCTATCAACTACCTTGACAGGGCTCGGAAGTTTGAACGATTTGACAAGGTCATTGCCCTCGGAAGAAGTCAGATGATAGAAGGTGGTCCCATGTGAGAAGCGACCCAGCCAACTGGCTTCAGGCTTTGCCTCGCGATCCTTCCCATTGGACTTGTCGTGCGCCGCTCTGGTAGCCGCTGCACCTGCAGCGACAGCGGCCTGAGACTCTACAAGAAGATTATACAAATTCCGACCCATTTGGCAAATATCATCGGCCACATTTTGGCCGCTGAAAACAATCGACTGTGAATTACACAGCCAGGCAACATCGTATGCGAGCAGAGAGACCCCCTCAAGGAAAAAGGAGTAGGCGGTGGGGTCATCTCTTAGCAATTGTGGAAGTGGTTTGTGAAGATAGAGCGGGCGTGCTCTTGGGATGGATTTGGAGCCGTTTTCGAGGCTCGTTGTGCTCGGCGATGCGGATATGGAGGTTCCTGGGAATGAGGGAATTTTGCCTTGATATGAACTTATGATGGTGTTGATTGTAGGATATGGGTAGTCCCGATGTGGGAGAGTTATCTCGGCTGGCAAACGGATGGCGAAGTAATATGAGGCCAGCATGACAATGTGTGTAATATGGGTGAGGGAGGTAGTGATATACTCGGGATCAAGGGCTTGCATTGTATTAGTTGGGAGTGAAAACAGAAATGGGGAAGGATGTATCTAGACTTACAGTTCATATCAAGCAAATTCACCACAGGTATCCTGCCAAGTTCGTACTCAGGATTGTCTTTGCTCAGGCGTCGCAGTCCGTAAAGATCGGCGGCCTCGGCGTAAAGAAACGCTCTTGTTGTTGACATATCCTCGGCGCTCTGTGACCAGCGATAGTTAAGCCTTTGAGCGGCTTTCTCTAACTCCCTTTGTTGCTTGGAGCGACGGTCCAGGAGACCTTCCGATGCGGTGGCAAGGTCGGACTTCCTGCGAGCGATAGTCGCTTTCCTTGCCTGGATCTCATCCCTGGCGGCTTTGATTTCATCCCGTAGTTTATTTGCGGCCTCTAGGATCCGGGAAGTCTCGCCCTCAACAGTGACTCTCTTTGACTGGGCTACACTCGAGGAGCCCACAGTGGTGGTATCCGAGGCTTGATCCAGCACGCCGCGTATCTGATTACGGAGCTCTTCGTTCTCCATGAGAAGCTGCACGCTCTTCAGGCGCCCCTGATAGAGCTGGTTCCTTGCATCGACGGCGCAAAGAAAGGGCTGCCGCACAGGGTCGTGGCCCCGGTGGCAGATATCACACTCCATTTGAGAGACGGGGCTTGAAGGAACTAGGGGACTGTGACAGATGCGGGACGCTGAGTCTCTGAGAATACGATGCACGAGCGGAACGTAAAGAGGTCACGGACTTTATCTGAAGCGGATGCAAGATCAGCACAAATGTGCGAGATTAACCGGCTCTGAAAAGGACAGAAAGTCCCTTGATAACGAGATGGAAGTCGTCAAGTCAGTGGGGGGAGGCTGATGACTTGGGTCACAAGATTCAATTGGAGCCTTGTAGGCGGCAATGGATTAGCAAAGGAGAGCGCTGGAGGTCAGTGCAGAGCTTCACTGCCCACCAGTGCAGTGCCTCATTGCCTTAATCTATAGTGGCGCTGATGGCGCTAAATAAAGCAACGGATCAGATGAACACAAATAATTGTCCTTGTGTGATAAAAAGCAATCATGTTGCTGGATTAAATCGCCTGCGTCACTGGAGCATCCCACAGAGCATTTGCATCCAACCAAAGCGCATTGCTGGCTGGTTACAGGGACGTATCAAATTCACAACTACTGAGGTTGGCTACACATCTACTTCTCTGAAACGAGGTTGACCCTCCTTCTCGTGTATTTTGGTAGCAACTTTAAACTTTTCTGGTGGCAACAGCATCTAAGCAAACTCTCCATAAGATCCATCACCTTATTCTGAACAGACCACATGCTGATAAACTGCCGTCTAATGATGGGTTTCCCAGCTGTTTCTCGTAGGTCGATCTGCATGACGTACCACAAGGCTACACCCACAGGGCCAACAAGGTACTTGCCGGATTACTAACGAGCACGGATCAGGTCAAGACAAGGAAGGCAGGAGCACGGGCGCGTGGTGCCTGCCGTTGTGGGCTCGCTACAAGTACTTACCTTAGTACTGGACGACCAGACGCGTTAAGTTCCCAAGCTCTCGCGTTCCTCGCCTACATGAGCAATATTACACTGCACGAACCTTCAACCAACGATTTGGTGCCTATTTCTGCTTAATTATACACTTGCCCAAAATTGGAGAATGGATTCACCACAAGGCTCCCCTAATGGGACTGAGCCAAAGTCCTCATCTCAGACAAACAACACGTCGGCGAAGACCACCGAACACCCAGCTTTGAGCCAGGCGAGGGCTCCCCCATTGGAAGTGAAGCGCATGGAGCAAGACTCCTCCTCCGAGCCTGAATTCCCCGAAATGCCACCATCATTTAATTGGGATGATTTTGAAAAACGCTACGAAGAGGCATTGCGCGAAGCGGGTCAAGCTGAGCAAGACATTTTTAAGGAAGCTGAGAATCTTTCCAAAGTGAGTCCCGTTTCATGTGTTGGCATCCATCCAAATGATCTTAGCATATTGAGTGGATGGAACCAGTACTTCCGCACTTGGGCAGCAGCTGCCTCAAGCCACGATGACGAACGCGCTGTCAAGCGGCTGCAGACACGCAGACGCTTCGTCAACATATCGGAGGAGAAAATGGCACAGAAACAACAACACTGTAAGCCATTCTAAGCAAATCCATTTCAGCTCCCAAGACTGACAGGGAGCCAACAAGACGACGATGTATTACGTGCATTTGAAAGCGCCCTAGCACTCTTGCGATCGGCATGATACCCTTCTGTCTGCTCGAGAGATAATCCATGGCTTGGATTCAACCCCAGCTCGTCTGGATCGTGGGTTTGATCATCCCCTCGCGAGTTGTCACAACTCAAGACCCTTGCTTCCACAGCCAGTTGGCTGGTCAGTTGCAAAAACACGTGATATACCTACCTAAGAGAGCACTCCACTTTTTCTTCTCAGCCGCACATGTTTGATACCACTTAGTTCAGACAGTCACAGCCAGACATACCTGGGATTGGTATCCAACAATGGGAGATTCAAAGGATAGAACTCCTTTAAATCATTCAAATCCCACGGCGCTAGAACTACCTGCGGTCACAAGTGTAAGTCAAATCTTGCCTACATGTTGGTGCCAACGCACTCCTAACATTTGCTCCAGGATGATTTCGCAGCCTTCTTTCAAGAACACTTTGCGGAAGAGACCGTGTCACAATTTGGGATAGAATTTCTTGATTCTAATGAAGCGCATGCTTTCGCAAATCCTGAACTACTCAGCGGATGGGAGGAAGAAGTTGAAGATGACCTAGGTTATTACGAGGATGGCGTGAAGCGCACCTTGACCGACGAGCAAATTGAGATCTTCCGTCATTCGGAGTTGCAGGAGCTTCGCCGGCAGCGGATAAAGCAGGAGAACAAAGGGAAAGGAGATCCATCGCCGCTGAGAGATGATCTGGCACACCATCAAGCAGGAAGCATTTCCCAACCATCGCTCTCAGCGGCAAGTTCCCGGAATAAGAAGAAGAAGAAAGGGATCAATCGCCAACCAGCGGAACCAAAGCCTGACTTGAGGAAAAGGACCTGGGATGTTGTTGAGAAAGGTCTTGATTCTCTTGACTACGATTGAGCATGTCATTTGTGGCGCTGGTACAGTCCACCATGTGCGTGCCGCATCACAAAAGATAAAATGCTGGTATGTATAATTCTCTGTACTGATTGCACTTCCTCACTTCCTATCTATGTTATGATGAAAACTTGTATCGTCTTAATACGGACCAAGAACACAGGCAGAGGAGACATCACCTAGTGATGTGGATGTCGGGTGGTCTTGAGATGACGAGAAACATAATCTTCTCTCTGAAGCATATCGGTTTATTATGAATTCACTGCATGTGGGCAAAATAAATGGCTTGTGCTGACACGCTGCTTAGAATCAATACAAGATCCGCTCAAAGTCATATAATAACTAACGAGGAGGGGGTTTGGCTCCGTTAATGTCGGCATCTTCCATGTTTCTGCAACATCTGACAACGGATCACACAATATATGCCAACGGGCCAGCGCGCCGGAGGAAGCGTATTGCAGGTGTATTGTTAGGCGTTTGTGTCATTCAACCAAACTCAGTCTAAGATAATGGGTTATGGCTCTCTGGGCTGCATGCAAGGAAAGGGAATGAAAAGGCGAATTCGGTGGAATAATGCATTGATAGACATTCCCATCCCTTGGTAGATAAATGCATTAATTACTGGAACAATCAATCAACGATACATGCCTGACTTGCGGTGTCTCTTTGAGTTCAGTCCATCTGTAGCCATTGAATATCGGCGGCGGGAGGGGGGCGGGGCCAGAGGTACGTACCAGCACCCAGCCCCTCCCCGCCATCTGAGGTGAGGAGGAGCTGGCCCACAAGCACAAGGCGTCAAGGCCTGGATTTCGGAACAGCAGAGACAGTCGTACTTGGCACCGCTACTAGCCATCCAAAGGGCAACCCTCGAGCCCAGAACTTAACCTCCTACAACCCGACAAGCATCGATAGCCAGGCATTCACCCTCACGCAGTCGCTTCCTCGTGAACCGACAGCTGTCCCATTGCGCCGCTCCGACACCACAAGCGGCCGCCGTCGTCGGAATTTCGCACCTCGAAAGACTTTCTTGCTGGTGGTCGTGCGACCCCATTCGGCCGACAAAATGGCGCGCGTCTACGCCGATGTGAACCAGAACATGCCCAGGAGCTATTGGGACTACGATAGCGTCAATATCAGTGAGTTTCGACGCCCATGCTGATGCTGCTCATGCGTGTTGTCAGCGATGCCTGATGGTGCCAGGTGCTGGGACAGGATCAAAGGCTAACCCCGCAACTAGGCTGGGGTGTTCTCGAGAACTACGAAGTTGTCAGGAAGATTGGTAGGTTTCGTCTTTGGAAATTCTGTTCTCGCAATTTTGGTTGGCGCCGCCGGCCAGGATCTCCTTGGGCGCGAGAATCTGCTATGTGACTGTCAATTGCTAATCTCGCTTTAGGCCGGGGCAAATACTCCGAGGTTTTTGAGGGTATCAACGTCGTCAACTACCAGAAATGTGTCATCAAAGTTCTAAAGCCCGTTAAGAAGAAGAAGATTAAGCGAGAGATCAAAATCCTGCAAAATTTGGCTGGGGGCCCCAACGTCATTGCTCTCTTGGATGTTGTGCGAGACTCACAGGTATGCTTGTTGCGCAGATCTCCCTTGAATCCGCTGGTCATCGCACGCGAGGAGAACACTGACCATTCTCTCTTGACAGAGCAAGACGCCGTCTCTCATTTTTGAGCATGTCAACAACACCGATTTCCGGAGCCTTTACCCCAAGTTCAGCGACATTGACGTTCGTTTCTACATTCTGGAGCTACTCAAGGCACTGGACTTCTGCCACAGCAAGGGCATCATGCACCGAGACGTGAAACCTCATAACGTTATGATCGATCATGAGAACAGAAAGGTATGGGAGGCATTGGCAATTGGCAAAACAAAGAAATGGTCGAATGCTAACATACACCTAGCTGCGTCTTATCGATTGGGGTTTGGCAGAGTTCTACCATCCCAGCACCGAGTACAACGTCCGCGTCGCTTCCCGTTACTTCAAAGGCCCTGAACTTCTGGTTGATTTCCAAGAGTATGATTACAGTCTCGACATGTGGAGTCTGGGAGCCATGTTCGCTTCTATGATCTTCCGGAAAGAACCCTTTTTCCACGGCAACAGCAACTCGGATCAGCTTGTCAAGATTGCCAAGGTCCTCGGAACCGACGATCTCTTCGACTACCTTGACAAGTATGAGATTGAATTGGATGCTCAGTACGATGACATCCTGGGCCACTTCCAGAAGAAGCCTTGGCACAGCTTTGTGACAGCGGAGAACCAGCGATTTGTCTCTAACGAAGCCATCGATTTCCTTGACAAGCTGTTGCGATATGACCATCAAGTAAACATCCCCCTTAAATATTCCCTCCTTTTGCTAGATGCTGACTGCTTTCCCAGGAACGTCTGACTGCTAAGGAGGCCCAAGCTCACCCATATTTCAACCCTGTCCGCGATCCGGAAGTTTTCAAGCAGAACTTGGCAAATGCCGGCGTCAGCACAGCCAAAGCTTAGGAGGATATGACGAATTAGTGTGCCGCCGTTGCCGTCCGCCCGCTCGATGATGGACCTCCACCACCATCTAATGATACCCTGAGGTTGCCTAATCTAAGACCCTCCCGCGATGAAGTGATTGACGATGAAGCGTCGAAACGAGACTCTCGAACTTTTGACGTGGGGCAGCTCGATGACCCTGGTTGGACGACAATTTGAATTGTGTTAGGAGGTCTCAAGGGGGTGGGCGCGCGCGAAGTATGAGAGGATGACCAGACCACTAAATGTTGAGGGGATGTAGGCTGGGACGGCGCTTTCTTTCCCGAGTCGAGACACGCCTTGAGTTGCCGACCAAGGCACCTTGCCCTACTCGAACAACAACCCACACTAGCGGACTTTGACGAGTTTTGTTTTTGGCGTTCCACGGCAATTCGATAGTTCTTGCGGCGTCAGGGTTTTGCAGAGGTATGAGGGGATGCTTTCCTTTGATTTTCTCTATTTCGGGGTGGTAGGAGGGTCATAGTATTAATAGATAGACAAGCTATTAATATAAGTCCTTAACAGCGTTGTGACATGTTCCTTGTTCCCGATAGCTATATAAGATTGCCATTGATGTCGCCCACATGCAAAGTCCCAATACCTAACGCAAAGCACCTACATCCATCAACCAACAGCCAAAATGTTACACCTTGATTAGTCCGGTAAGCACTTGAAGCAAAAGTCTCCCCCGCACCGATAATTATCTACACCGCACACCGCCTGTGTCGAATCAGTGGCCTTGGACGGCGGGTCTTTTCTTGGGCGTTTCTTAGTTGGCGTGTCGTAAATTCCCGACCTCCTGCTGTGCCTGTCGGACCTCCCTCTCTTTCGACGGGATGAGCTGAAGAGATTTGGTATAGAGACCGCATGCTTCTCGCTGAGCAGGATCTCATCCTCCTCTTCGTCCGAGAGAAGGGACAAAATGGACCGGCGACTCGAGGGCGTTTTGATGGCTGAAGTTCGTACGTGTCGAGGAGTAAGTGGTATCTTGGATACTCTGTGGGGAGTTGCTGAGCCTCGCTCATTGGGGGGTTTGACAGGTGAGTGCTTTGTGCCTGTCTGTTCGATATGTTTCGTAGGTGAAATATACATCATCTCAGGGTTTCTTGGTGATTTAGCGCCCTGAGAAACAATTGGTTTGTTAGGAGGCGATTCAGACCTCAAAGAGAGTGGTAGTTCATTGATAGCCGAGGAATCTCGACCACCAGTAGATCTTGGAGGTGAAAGTGGCCCTGATGGTGTATGTACATAGGAGGTGGTTTGAAGAAGTGATAGATCTGCCGTGTTATCCTCAGACTTGATGCGGGTATGAACTTCATCGATGTCGTTGCCTCTCTCAAGTTCGTTGATAGTATCACCTCCTTGGGAGGCCTCAATTTCTTCTGTTTCTGCGCAGACCAAGTCAGGACCTGGCATGTCACGGTTAGCTACAGCCTCAGAATCTGACATCTCGTGGTCTACTACACCCCCCAGAATCTCAGTATCTTCCAGAGTCTGGCTCTCATCATCGAGAACCGCATCTACTCCAGGCCTTGTCGCACTATCTGAGTCTTGGGGTGCAGATTCGGCTCTCAGCTTATAGATGTTTCTATCCCCATCGCTATCCGATGTATCAACCACTGATGTTGGGGGAGTGGGGAGCACAGAGTTAATTTTCTCCATTGAGATATGCCTGTATTGTTTCCGCCGTTGTTTTGATATTTCTGGGATTTCCACAGACACTCTGTCCTGAGTACCCGCAGTTTCGTCTTTGATTGAATTCAAGCCAACAGGAGGACTGGTGATAGAGGCCGTGGCAGGTTCTTCAACCACCATGGCATCGGCTCCTTCTTTGTTCTGGGGAGCTATTGTATATTGCTCTGAAAGCAGCTCATCCTCGTCGTCTGTTATGTACTTGGATTCCTGCGCTGGCTGCACGTTCAGCGAGTCGCTATTTGCTGTTTCATCCTGTGCCTCCTCTGTGTGGCCATTTTTCTTCCCCCTTGAGAAAAACCGTGAAGTAAAAAGGGATTTTTGCACACGCTTCTTTGGCTGGGCTTGAGGTAGGGACGATGCGCCGGCTCCAGGCCCAGAAATTGATGTGGGTAGCGAACTAAACGGAGCAGACATGAAAGGGGGGTACAGATTGGTGAAAGGCAAGATCGCGGGATGCTGGCCAAGCGAAGGGAAAGCTGCCCCAGGCTGCCCGGGGAAATGGGGTGGCTGCTGGCCATAGGGAAAAGGCCAAAATGGAACAGTATTCGGACTTGGTCCCCAGAATGATGGAGGAGGCCCGAAACTCCAGGCGTAGTCGCCCGTGGGGGCCAATTCTTGTAAGTCTGCCGATGCGCTTGGGGCATCTTTCGAAGCCGGAGGTGATCTTGAAGGCAAGGCAGGTCCTTCATCGGCCGTAACAGAGCCACCGTCGCTGGCATGACTTTCGCCCTCCCAGTCCTCCAATAAGATCCCCTCGTCCTCCTCGCCGTCGCTCTGTGCCGTTTCCAAACCATCAAGCGATCCTATATCCCCATCATAACGCATGTTAGCGAGATGTCCGTTATTAACCACGATCTCGCCGGTTTCGAAGTCGATCTCGTCCCCGATATCCTCGAAATCGCGGCCATACTTGTCGAATATACTGGACATGGCAGCTTGGAATCTGTTGCCGACGGCTTCGCGCTTCTTCGCAAGCTGCACATCGGGATCGCGCATTTCGGAAACCTCGTGTGGTTGGAAATTGAGCTCGTCGCCGTCCTCATCTTGCGCTCCTTCAGCAACCAGCTGCGCCAGCCGGGATCGGTTTGTCGGCGGCTCCATGGCTACCCGTCTTTGTATTCCTGGGCCGAGAGCAAGTTGAATCACGATTCTGAAGGCATAGAATTAGGGGATGCATTGCATGCCTCAGAACAATGCATGCCTCAGAACAATGAATTTTGCACCGTGTGCAGAAATCCAAAGCCATGGCCATGCATCATTGTCAATGTTGAAACTATCCCATATATGGCTGGTTGGGGCGGCAACAGCCTCCAGCATGGCTGCACTGCTCCACACACCACTAAAAAGAGCTGGCCCAGCGCTGCGACAGAGGGGCCTTGTTCATTGGTGGGCCCTGAAGAGCCGCCTGGGGACCCTGCAGGTACCTCAGATAAGCAAGATCACCCACTGATGGGTCCTTCCTTCATTGAGCTTCGAGGACTTGCCCAACGTCACACCCTCCATCGTCGTGGGGCAGTTCAAGCAAGGCAGGCACAGCATCATCAGCTTGAGTTCGCCCTAGTTAAGTCTCGTCTGATGCAGCAGCTTCAACCCCGTCACCTTGTTGCCACGAAACTATCTAACTTTTCCTCTTACTTTCCGTCGCGAGCATACAAGTGCACATGTGCATGTTTTCCATCCCAAGCTTTGGCTAAGTAGCTTGGCTCCGCGCACAAGATGTTTTGCCAGCAGTGCCGTCAGCCGCTCCGGCTTGATGGCTCCCTCGAAGATTTGAACCCAGCAGCGTACGGACTTCTTGTCTGTGAGTTACCCACACAAATACCTTTGCTTTCAGCATCTTCTTACTCAATGCGACGCAGCTTCCTCCACATCCCAGGCACCTTCACAGTCACCGACCATTACACCTTCAAGAAACGATGCCCAGGCGCAAACCAGAAAGTCCTTCTATGACCAAGTGTCGCAAAGTGCCAGCCAGCCGACTTTTAAACGAAACCAAGCCAGCGGTCCCCGCGATAGCTCGATGTCGTTCATTTATCTTACCGAATCCCAAGTAAATCACCCAGGCTCCTTCCAGCCCGAACCTCCCTCAAGTCCGACCCCAGTCCCGGCTCCCCAGCGGTCCAGCTCCGCAAGGAACGATGCAGAGAGCCAAAGCAAGCCGAGAGGAGACGAGATGAGCAGGATTAATCGTCTGTTCGAGGTCATCTCCTCAAGATCCGATATCGATCATCCAATATGTGTTGAGTGCACTGAAATGCTCGTGGATGGACTCCAGAAGAAAGTAGAGGAAGCCACGAAAGAGAGAGACCTATACGTTAGGCACCTACGCCAAGTAATGGCAGAGAAGCCCAATGCAGCGGACGTAAAAGCACAGCAGGAGGCGCTCGCCAATGCTGAGAAGGACAAGAGCGCGGCTTTACAAGACTTGAAGAAGTTGGAGCAAGAAAAAGATGCCCTGGACGCCGAGATAGTCGCGCTGGAGGAGGAGTCAAGACAGCTTGATCTGGAAGAGGATAAGTTCTGGAGGGAACGCAATGCTTTTGCCGCCGCCATGGCAGACTTCCAGTCGGAGCGCGATAGTGTGAACGTCAAATACAGCCATGACTCACAGCTTCTAGACCAGCTACAGCGGTCAAATGTTTACAACGACACATTCTGTATAAGTCACGATGGGAGCTTTGCGACAATCAACGGGCTGCGGCTGGGCCGACTTTCGAATAAGCCGGTGGACTGGCCCGAGATCAATGCAGCATGGGGCCACGCCTTGTTACTACTCGTAACTGTTGCGGAGAAATTGGATTATGAGTTCCAAGGTCTCCAACCACAGCCGTTAGGAAGCACATCGAAGATCATTCGGTGTGAAAACGTGAGCCCGGCATCAAGTAGGATCGGGGCAAAGAGCTCGCAACCAGCCCCAAAGAAGCACATTCTAGAGTTATACAGCTCGGGAGACATGCCGCTTGGGCTCACATTCATGCATCGCAAGTTTGACAACGCCATGGTTGCCTTCCTCGAGCTGGTCAGGCAGCTAGGCGTCCATGTGGAAGGGCAAACCGAAGCTACGGGGAATTCTCTAAGCCTGCCTTACAAAATTGAGGGGGACAAGATCGCCGACGTGAGCATTAAGCTCGGCATTGCGCAGGATGACGGGTGGACAAAGGCATGCAAGCTTACATTGACTTGCTGCAAGTTCCTTCTTGCACACGCTAGTAATGTGAGCTCAGGCGTACGACGAGCGAGTCGGTGATCAAAGAGCTTCCCGGGATATGGCCTGCAATGTTCTGCAT